GGAGCCTGACGCAGGGCTTGATCCCAGAACCCTGGGATCATGACCTGAGCCAAAGGCAGACGCTTAACAACTGAGCCACCCAGGCACCCCTAGCCATCAGGTTTTAAGCAGGGGAGTGAGTGCTGACATTAGGCGTAATTTTGAAACTCCCTGGTCTCTCTGGGAGAATGGCTTGGTGTGGGGGGTTGTTGGGGGACAAGGTAGGGAAACAAATTAGGAGGCTGTTGTGTGTCCAGGAGTGACGTGGGCACGGTCGGGTGTGGGCTCTCATGTGGACAGGCCAAGGTTGGTTGTCAGGGTTCATCCAGACTTTTGGGTTCTGTTGAGTGTATGTGTTTATTTGAAAGGATTGTTCCCGGAGATTCCTTTGATTTAGGTAGCGACATATTAAGATTAGTGAAATCTTAAAATTCTTATACAGGTAAAATGATAGCAGCTTGCTAGAATATCGAGATAGAGAAACACTGATCTGCACTTTTCTTTAATCAGTTTGTTCAGCTTTAGTATAGTTAGCCATTGTATTATCTTGTCTGTGTGATTGTAATTATAGTAGTGATAGGATTACTGAAAAGATTAGGGAATTTTATATTTTTTCACTTAAATGTTATCTTTTATGTATGTTATATAAAAAATCTTTTTTTTTTTTTTTTTTTAAAGATTTTATTTGTTTGAGAGAGAGAGAGATCACAAGTAGGCAGAGAGGCAGGCAGAGGGGGAGGAGGAAGCAGGCTTCCTGCTGAGCAGAGAGTCCGACACGAGGCTCAATCCCAGGACCCCGAGACCTTGACCCAAGCTGAAGGTAGAGGCCCAACCTACTGAGCCATCTAGGCGCCCTGCCAAAAATCTTTATAGCTTCATAATACTGCATTGAACAGATTTTAATATTGATTTTGTGACCAAATATTGGTCACAATAGTATTGACTTGTATACTGTTAGATGTTAATAGGTGGGCATTTCAGTTATTGTTTTAAGAGATTTATAGAGAGCCCGAGCAAGCGCTGGGGGAGGGGCAGAGAGGGAGAGATCAGGTCTCTAGCCGGCTCCCTACAAGAGTGTGGAGCTTGAAGCAGGGTTGTCTCTGGCCCTCTAGGTCATGACCTGAGCTGAAATCAAGACCTGGATGCCTGGCTATGCCACCCAGTTGCCCTAATACCTTTTAAATTATTTTAAAATACTCTAATGTTTTTTTTTTTTAAAATACTCTAATGAAATTTTTTTTAAATCTGCATTTTCCCATTTTTTTTCAAAAAATTGGATTAAGTAATAACTTACTTATAGAGATCTTTCTAGAAAACTTGGCTGCCTTAACATGCTCTTAAAAACTAGGTTAATGAAACCTGAAGGCATAACTGACAAAAACTAAGTACAGTTTTGTGCTTTAACAATAGAATGATGTTTTTTCTAGATCACTGGGCTCAGAATATGTGTACTTTGATTTAAGTGTATAGACTTCTTATTGAAGGAAGGAACACGTGCGTATCTAGACTGCAGTCCTCATCTGACACATTCACACAGCAGCTCCTCATAAAAAGAGCAATCTCTGCCTTATCTCACTTTTCAAAGACATCGTGTGTCAGCTCTGGGACAAGAAGAGGGTGTTCCCGGGTCCATACTCTGGTGAGAATGGCTTCAGATTGGCCTCGTTTAGTGATAGAGAAATAACAGTGCTGTGTGTTCTTCTCCTTTTCTTGTTTCTGAAACACTGAAGTAGAGTCTTTGTGTTATTGGCTCGTGATGTTCAGCTTCATTTCCATCTGATGAAGAAATGTCAGACAACCTTTGTTTTGTTCTTTGCATCATTCTTTAAGAACAAACTAGGTTAAAGTGAACAAATTAAACTGCAAATTTAGAGGATACATTTAGAGAAGAGTAAGTTTTAAAGACTACAGCCAGGTCCTTGGTTTATTTATTCTGTGTTGACTTTTAGTCACTAATTGTTTTCATACTTTCAGTCCTTAAAATAGTGTTAGTTTAAGCATACTGTTAGTTCTGTCATATCTTTAGGTTTCAGAAGAGCAATATCCAGATTGATCTGTCTTAAAAAGAAGGGGGGGGTTTCCTCCAACTGATTCTTTGACTGTTGGTACCATAAGATATTTTTTAAATGAACTCTTCTTTAAAGCCTTGCGTTCCCATTGTGGTCCAAGTTCAGTGACACCGGTATGACTTGGGAGCTCCTGAGAGATGCAGAATCTCAGGCCCTTGATTTCCTCCCTTCCCATCCCTTTGGGGCCATTGTACCCCCGCACTGCAGCTTTTGCCTGGCCCCCTGTCCTCCTCACTATTTACAGTGTGGCTTAGAGGTTAAGAACCTGCCAGGTGGCCTGCAGTTTGAATCCTAGCCCTGCTGCTTCCTAGCCGAGTGACCTGAGTTCCCTCATCCGTGAAGTGAGGAAAACACGAGTGTATCCATACACAGGGGAGCGAGAGCATGAGCACGAGTGAGAGCCAATGGACTCCCCTCCCCTCCCCACCATTGTGTCCATGCTCTGTGACAGCACAGCAAACCTGCCGGTACTTCCCAGCTTCAAGTCATTTTCTTCTTCTTTTTTTTTTTAAGATTTTTATTTATTTATTTGTCAGAGAGAGAGAGAGAGAGAACAAGTGCATAGGCAGGCAGAGGCAGAGAGAGAAGCAGGCTCCCCGCCAAGCAAGGAGCCCGATGCAGGACTCGATCCCAGAACCCTGGGATCATGACCCGAGCCGAAGGCAGTGGCCCAATTGACTAAGCCACCCAGGTGACCCAAGTAATTATCTTCTTTTTTATTTTTTTATTTTTTTAAGATTTTATTTATTTATTTGACAGAGATCACAAGTAGGCAGAGAGGCAGGCAGAGAGAGAGGAGGAAGCAGGCTCCCTGCTGAGCAGAGAGCCTGATGCAGGGCTCGATCCCAGGACCCTGAGATCATGACCCGAGCCAGAGGCAGAGGCTTTAACTCACTGAGCCACCCAGCCCCCCCACCCCCCAAGTCATTATCTTCTTATTCACATCTCATGATTCTGTGCGTCAGGGATGTGGGCAGTGTTAGCTGCTCGGTTCTTGTAGGCCACGGGATGGTTTTCAGGCTTTTTTAAAAAAAAATATTATTTATTTATTTGACAGACGGATCACAAATAGGCAGAGAGGCAGGCAGAGAGAGAGAGAGGAGGAGGAAGCAAGCTCCTCACTGAGCAGAGAGCCCGATGCAGGGCTTGATCCCAGGACTCTGGGATCATGACCTGAGCTGAAGGCAGAGGCTTTATTTAACTCACTGAGCCACCCAGGTGCCCCCAGCCTTTTTAAAAAAATTGTGATTGTAATGATTAAGTTGTAAGTGTTCTTTATATATTCTGGGTGTAGATCTCTTCAAAGATAAATGATTTTCAAATACTCCTCCCATTCTGTAGCTGTCTTTTTATTCATGTGTCCTTTGAAGCACACTTTTAAAGAAGTCCAATTTATCTCTTTTTTTCTTCCTGTTGCTTGTCCTTTTGATGTCCTATGAAACTGTGTCTGACCTGAAGTCTCATAGATTTACTCCTGTGTTTTCTTCTGAGAATTTGATAGATTTTGCTGTTCCATTTTGGCCTGTGCTCTATTTGGAATCAATATTTGTGTGTCGTGTAAGGAAGGGACACAGATTGCATTTAAATAGCTCCTTTAATCGACTCTTTAAAATCTTCCTTGTTCATCCTGTGTGGCCTGAGGAACTGTTGTCCCCTCACCATCAGAACTCTGCCTGTGGCTCCTGAGTCTTTCTCACCTTGTTTCTTCATCCTTTCCTTCTTGTTCTCACTTGATTCAAAATCGTCTCTCTGTATACTGCCAAGTGCTAGGGACTCGCCCATGTGCTAGTTCTGCTCCTTCCCGCTCTGCAGTCCACTAGCCAGTTTCTCTCCTCTCCAGCGTTCGCTGCTGTCTCTGTGCTGATGACTTCTGATCCAGGTCCCTCTTCCCTTCTCATGAGTCTGGGAGCCCAGCTTCCCCAATGGGAGCACAGTGTCCGGTTGCTTTTTGTACCTAGCACAGTGGTGAGATGTAGTAGATGCTCAGTAAACACTTAGTTGTCAACAATAGAAACGAAACTATTTCTATGCTTAGTAAAGGGTGCTCTTTAGTGATTTAGTAGTTAAAGATGAATATAATTTAGTATTTGAACATCATTTCAAAGAAAAGATTGGGATTAAAAAGAGTGTAAGTCAGTAGCCATAATAATAGACTTTTAAATTTGAGTCATTTGGGCATCTTTTAGTCACAGAATAGGGCATGTTGATGTTTTCAGTACCTGCTATTTTTCGAACTGAAAAGGTGATCTGATGAGGAGCATTTCCCGTTTGCATGAATTTAGGTGTGTGAGTAGCTTCTTTCTTATTGATCCGTTTGGAGAATCCTTTGCAAAATCACTGCTAACACATTTTCAGGAAAATATCATAAGTCAGATTTCTCCGGAAATGAACTGTGCTTCTCCTGGTAGGTCCTTTCTGTATGGGACAGGATCGTGACTTAAACTATCTTGTCAAAATTCAGTATCTAGGGTTGCCTAGGTGGCTCAGTTGGTTAGGTGTCTGCCTTCAGCTCAGGTCACGATCCCCTGAGATCAAGTCCTGCATCAGGCTCCCTGCTCAGTGGGGAGTCTGCTTCTCCTTCTCCCTCGGCTGGCTGCTCTCCTGCTTGTGCTCTCTCTCTTGTTCTGACAATAAGTAAACTCTTTTTAAAAAATTCAGTATCTAATTCTTTTTCAGTTTGACAGAGGATACAATAGCTTTGTGAGCTTGTTTTCCTGTTGTCTGCCAAAAAACAATGGCGAGGACAAAAAATGCCATTGGTCTGTAGAAGGGTGGGAGATGGCTGGTGTGTGCCTCCGAGGCCACAACGATACCTCGCACGTGATGGCTCTGACTCAGTCACTCCTGACGTTCTCACACTGAAGGCTGTGTTTGCCAGGCTGATGTGCTTGTGATGAAATGCTGTTGGACATTGATTCAAACACAAGACTTTCTTGTATGTTGATTCTGTAGGAACCGAGAAAGATTGTGCCATGAATGGGGACTCTCGTGCCGCGGTGGTGACCTCACCACCCCCGACCACTGCCCCGCACAAGGAGCGGTACTTTGACAGGGTGGATGAGAACAACCCGGAGTACTTGCGAGAGAGGAACATGGCACCGGATCTTCGCCAGGACTTCAACATGATGGAGCAGAAGAAGAGGGTGTCCATGATCCTGCAGAGTCCTGTAAGCCTTGTTGCTGCACAAGGGTCTTTTTCCTTCTCTGAGGCTTCAGCTCTTAGCTCTGTTGTGCATGCCAGAGTGCCTGCATTTCCACCCAGGAAATTCTTGCCTCGTGTGTATGTGCATGGCTGGGGAAAGAATTCCATTCAGTTCAAGTTATCAGGCAGAATAAATGAAAGATCTTCATTGTCATAAAGGAGAGGAGGTGCTGGCTTCTCCTTTTTATTCTCTCCCTTCTTCTCCAGAGAGTCTCTTTGTTTTTCGAACTGTTTAAAAATTACTGTTACCTCTAGGCCCCCTCCCCTGGTGCTGGGTACTTGGTAGGCCTCAGTAGGACCTCATCATTGATTGGTTTTTCCTCTAGTGACACCAGCACTTTAAGCCACAAGCATGCCCTCTGTGTTCTGTTCACGTCCTTACATAAAGGAGTTCTGTCTCCATCACTTCCTTGTGTTGCTGCTGCTGCCCTCGTGTGTGCTTCATTTCTTTTTCCCTTCTGATCTTGTTCCCTTAAAGCTTCGGAGTGTTATTAGGGAGATACTCATGGAATTCTTTTAATGTTTGTCTTTTACATGCTGCTCAAGGAACCTGGAGAGTTAGCAGTGAACAGGACAAATAAATGCTCTAAGAGATTTTGTTTGTTTGGTTATGATTAGTCTTCACATATTGTGGAGGTATAATTTAGAGGAATTTATGCAGATCTTAAGTGTACAGCTTGGTGAGTTTGGACATGAGTATAACACCTGTGTGAGCACCTGCTGGGTCAAGTTTCTGACCTCACACCCTCCTGGAAGAACGTGAACAAGAAACATCAAACAGACGCGCAGTGCAGGAAGCAGTGGGGTGATTGGACTGAGTGGTGGTTCGCACAGGCCTCTCTGAGGAAGGGAGCGGAAGGAGCCAGCCCTGCAGGGGTGGGGGTGTTCCAGTGTTCCAGTTGAGGGGCAGCAAGTGAAATCCCTAGCTCAGGGATGAGCTGGATGGGCTTGGAGTCGAGGCACCAGTGTGGTCTGATCACAGTAGGCGACAGGGAGGGGGCAAGTCCTGGAAGGCTATGTAGGCTCGGGTTAGGAGTTTGTTTTGCATTCAGAGTATAATAGAGTCATCAGAGGGCTGCAGGCAGGAATGGCGCTAGTTTAATATATTCTTAGAGAAAGAACACGTGCAAGCAGAGGGTTGCGGGGGAGGGGAGCGTGAGCAAGAGAATCTTAAGCCGAACTTGGGTTTAGTCTCACGACCCTGAGATCATGACCTGAGCTGAAATCAAGAGTCAGATGTTTAATTGACTGAATTACCCAGGAGCCCCTGGTGTCATTTCATTTTTGAAGGTTTGGTATAGAAGGAGTATTGTAGGGGTGCCTGGCTGGCTCGGTCTGTAGAGCATGTGACTCTTAATCTCAGGATCGTGAGTTCAAGCCCCACTTTGGGTGGGTGTGGAGCCTACTTTAAAAAAAAAGAAAAAGAAAAAATGTTGTATGGGGCAAGAGAGAAAGCCATCTTCCAAGCAGGAGGTGGCAGTAATTTTTGAGTTTTATTTTGAGGGTAGGTTCAGTAGAACTTGCTGATAGATGATGAGGAAGAGGTAGAGTTAAAAATGAATCAGAGAACATTTAGATTTTAGGCTTGAGCAGTTTCCTATGTAAAAGCCACAAGAAATGAAGGAAACATCACTGGGGGCAGAGTACAGAAAGTTGACTTATGGCACCGACTGTGTGCAGGTGCTATGCAGGCCCCCACCCCCAGGTCGTCGAGGACAGATATAGTCAGCATCAACTGTGACGATCTGAATGCAGTGTGGGACCCTGAAACAGAGAAAGGACATAAGCTAAAAGACCAGAAAGCCTGGAATTGCTTCCTAGGGATGTCCTGGTGCTGGATTCTTGGTTTTAGGAGCACAGGAGTTGAGCCACTTCATGGAGTGGGAAAGCCCACTCTGTGGGCACGGATGCTGATAGTTGCATAGATCCCGGAGGGAGCTGGAGAGTTTTCTTCAGGTTGATCCTCTGCTCTCAGGGAATCATCAGTGGGGTCACCTGCTGAGAACGGGCCCAGATAGGTGTGAGAGTGGGTGAGGGGATGAGCTGTCTTTGTGTTAGTGTGAAGGGCACACTCAGGTTAGGGTCATGAATTTATAGTGGGACGATACAGCATGATCCCCCTACTCCAGCCACTTTCAGCAGCATGAGTAGACAGAGTGAAGGGTTGAATTTAACCAGGATTGGGGTATTCCCAGGTGAAATGGTAGAGAGTGCAGGTGTGAGCAAGGGAATGATTATAATGTTAAACCAAGGCTCTAAGTGGGTGAGGGAGGTCAGGACGCAGGGAAGGTAAGGGATGGTGGACCAGTGTTAGGGTCACGATGGAGTTGAAGAAAGGGTGAGTTGGAAGCTAGGAGGGGAACCCATACTTGGGGCACAGTTACTAGGAAAGAGCACATGTAGGACATGATCATGCACATGGGAGGCCTGGGTGATTGGAGGACAGGGTCACTAGAGGAGAGGCAGGCAGTTCGCTGAGAGGTGAGGGTGTGGATGTTGAACCACCAGTATTTAGGACCAAGGAAGCACACAAGGTCACTGGCTGTGAGTGCTGGCTGGAGTAGACTCTGGGATCTGGCTGGGTGGCTCCAGGCCCTCATCGGCCTCTACTGTGCTCAGCTCCTTACCACACACGTAGGGCATCAGGGCAGCTGTGGATACTGAGGGCTTCTTACACTGTGGTTTTCTTTTTGTGTGTTATATGCTAAGCTTTAGGTTCCTTAATGGCAAGGACCATTTTTTTCTAGCTGTATATCTTCAGTGCCTAGAACAGCACCTGGGACTTAACATGTGTTGCACTGTGTACGTGGGCTGAATTGTGGTGTCGTGTACGTACATTGTACATGCGTGTTGAACTGAGCTTCCCATAGATACATCTGTGGATTTGGAAACGGTGGAAAGAGAGGGTTTGATTTTTCAGATTCAGGGCCCGTGAGCCAGGGAGCTTGTTTTATGCAACTGTTGTCCTCTGTGCCCAGCATACTCTGTGACCTTTAGTGAGGCTTCTGGATCTGTCTGTATCCCTTTATCCTGTGTCTGCATATCTGTCTAGATCGTTGCCTTTGCCATTGATACCAAAGATGGCTGAGTAACTGTGTTTTATTTATTTCTTCTTTTCAGTCAAAGCCCTGTCAGCTTTCCCCTCCTTCCTTGACTCCCACAGAATATGATCTATGACATCACTTGTCATATGGTAAATAGGGGTTCCTCTAGCCACTCTTGGTTCCTTATATTCTTTTATACCATTGTATTAAGTGTAATTCATGTATTGCTTGCTTCCTGCAAGCTACTGATAGCTATACTTGGACTGTCCCTGGGCATTATGTCTTTTCAGCTTTTCATTCAAGCAATGAAAAACTAGAAGTTGAATATGGAATCATCCAGAAACCCTTGGAGTGTTTGTAATCAGATGTGGGTGTTCGTTCAGTGAGCTCATATTTTCTTTTCCTTTCTTTTTTTTTTTTTTTTAAAGATTTTTAAAAATTTATTTGTCAGTGAGAGAGAGAGCATAAGCAGGGGGAGCAGCAAGCAGAGTGAGAAGCAGATTCCCCGCTGAGCAAGGAGCCTGACATGGGACTCGATCCCAGGACCATGACCCGAGCTGAAGGCAGGCGCTTAACTGACTGAGCCACCCAGGCATCCCAAGCTCACATTTTCATTTTAACTAGTATTTATTTGATAAGATACTTCTTTTTTTTTTTTTAAGATTTTATTTATTTATTTGACAGAGACACTGCAAGAGAGGGAACACAAGCAGGGGGAGTGGGAGAGGGAGAAGCAGGCTTCCCACTGAGCAGAGCATCTTATGTGGGGCTCGATCCCAGGGTCCTGGGATCATGACCCAAGCTGAAGGCAGGCACTTAATCCAGGCACCTCTGATAAGATATTTCTTTGTAGGATATGTGAAAAATTATTTCAACACGGTTTGGGAAAGCAAAGCTATAAATTAACCTGTATTGTTAAAGTAGTGACTTTATATTAAAGTCACCATCAACCCAATTTAATCCTTTTACCTAGTTTAGGATCTTTTTTAAAAATTTAGGATTATTTGATAAAGGATGAATGTTTTAGGATTTCTTTTTCAACTTTTAAAAAGTGATTAATAGAATCTATTTTGAGAAAAAACTAGTTTGAAGAAAATACTGAGAAGCACAAAGTAGAACATGAAAATTGCTAATAATTCTATCACTGAGATGATTATAGTAAACATTTGGATGTATTTAGTGTTCTATGTTTAGATATGTATTCACTCTTACAAAACACGGATTCTGGGGCGCCTGGGTGGCTCAGTGGGTTAATGCCTCTGCCTTCGGCTCAGGTCATGATCCTGGGGTCCTGGGATCGAGCCCTGCATCGGGCTCTCTTCTCCGTGGAGAGCCTGCTTCTCCCTGCCTTCTCCCTTCTCCCTTCTCCCTGCCTCTCTGCCTACTTATGATCTCTGTCTGTCAAATAAATAAATAAAATCTTAAAAATAAAAAAAAAACAGATTCTGTTGCTTTACAACCATTTCACAATAAAAAATATATGAAGAGCAATTTTATGTCATTTTATTTTTCTCAGCCTTTTGTGTTGACCGTGTGCATAGATGGACCGTGTCCACTGTAAGGTGGAACTGTGTGTGTAATCATATTTCTACTGTTTCATATGTCGACTGTTACCTGCTTCTCTTTTGTCAGTCCTGCTGGAACTAACATCCATATGAATTCATCTTTGAGTATATCCCCAATTATTTCTTTCAAAAAGATTATTAGTGATAGAATGTTAAGATTTTTAAGCTTTTGTATTACTTACATTACTTTCTAGAAATAATGTAGCAATTGATGCTCCAAGTAGTAATATAGGAGAATATCCATTTACTTTTCTAGCCCTGGATGAAAATAAACAAAAAGGTAGTCTGTGTGTTAGTTACCTCTGCCTTCCCAAGGCATGGAAGAGAGATAGTGTCTCACTGTTCTCATTTGCCTTTTACTAGGCTTTCTGTGAAGAGTTGGAATCAATGATACAGGAACAATTTAAGAAGGGGAAGAACCCCACAGGCCTGTTGGCGCTACAGCAGATTGCAGATTTCATGACCGCGAACGTACCGAATGTCTACCCCGCAGCTCCGCAAGGGGGGATGGCGGCCTTGAACATGAGTGAGTAGTTCCTGACTCTGCACCCATTCGGTCCTTTTGTAGGCTACATTTCCTGTTCTTATGGGAAGTTGATTGGTGTACATTGTGATACACAGAATTGAGTTTTTTGAAAATTAATGTTTTAGTTACAGTGAAAGGCTGTAAGTCTGAAAATGTCTTGAAGGTAGAGGGCTCCCTTTTTTAAAATTTATTTTTATTTTTTCTTAAAGTTTTACTTATTTATTTGAGAGAGAGTGTGTACGCACAGAGGGAGGGAGAGAGAGGGAGAAGCAGGATCTCTGCTGAGCAGGGAGCCCTATGTGGGGCTCCATTGCAGGATCCTGGGACCATGACCTGATCCGAAGGCAGACACTTAACGGCAGATGCTTAACAACTGAGCCACCGTAGGCATCCCTAGATGGCTCCCTTTTTTATGAGCCAATAGGACTGTTCTTTCTCGGGCTGATGGACTTTTTGTGTGGCTTCACAGACCCTTTGTGAACTAAAAATACTCAGAAACAGTGCTTATGGAGGAGCACATCAGTTTGCCTGAACTTATTTCAGCCAGGCCAGCATTTCTTATCTACCACTCCTTACTGCTGCTTGTAAATGGGTGAGACAGACATTCCAAAAGCAAGCCGATTGGGAAATACTGGATGGGTGACCGTGAGCAAAGAATGGTTAGCATGCAGAGGTGGAGGAGCGTTGCTGTGGCTGTTGAACTTGTAAATGTTAACGTGACAGGGTGAACCCAGGGCAGCATGAGCATCAGCCGCTCTGACCTGTGTGCTGTGTGCTGCACCGATGCCTGACAGCTGTAGTTGGCTAGTCAGCTTCTGATGGGCCAGCATGCACCAGTGCTTTCTGTTCGGTTTCCAGGCGTTGGCTACTTACCTGTCAGTTCCATGGTATTCTCAGAAGTTGACCGACACCCATCAGAGTGATGCATTGTTAATGTCCAGCGAGTGATGGACATTTACTAGCTAAGGTTTTACTCTGAAGTCAAACCGTAGTCAGATTTTCTTATTTTCACAGGATTCTTCATGGATTCTAGTGCTGTCTCATATGTATTAGATAAAAGGGGGATGTAATGTATTTACTTGCATATTGTCTTATAATTAGAGAAAAGGAAATTTTGTTGCAATAATGCCACACCAAAAAAGAGAAAGAAATCTGGGGGTTAGAAAGCGGGTGAAAGCCTCTGCCTTCGGCTCAGGTCATGATCCCAGGGTCCTGGGATCGAACCCTGTGTCAGGCTCTCTGCTCGGCAGGGAGCCTGCTTCCCCTCTTTCTGTCTCTGCCTGCCTCTCTACCTACTTGTGATCTCTGTCTGTTAAATAAATTAAAAAAAAAAAGAGGAAGAAATCTAATTAATTTAATTATATCTAATAGTATGTTTCTTAAGAGTACAAATTTAAAAACAAAGTAGTACAACTTTTGTTGTAAGCTATGTATAGATGGCGTAGAACAAATGGTATACAGCTTACAAGTGGCATTGAGGTGTTATACCTTTACTGCTCCCACCTGGGTTAAGAAAAAAATTAAGGGTATTGATTGATTGCCTCTCCCCTATCATCCTCTCAGAAGGAAATGCCATCTTTCTTAAAGGTTTTATTTTGTTTTAAAAAATTATTTAATAACTTTTAATAGAATTTATTTCATAGAGAGAGCACAAGCAGAGGGAGAGGCAGAGGGACCAGCAGACTCCCCACTGAGCAGGGAGGCCAACAGTGCAGGGCTCGATCCCAAGATGCTGAGCTCAACATCTGAGCTGAAGCCAGATGCTTAACGGACTGAGCTACCCAGGTGTTGTTAGCAGCCATTGATGCTCAATACGTAGATCTATTTATTTTACTTTTAAGTATTTGCTACACCCAACATGGGGTTCCAACTCACAACCTGGAGATCAAGAGTTACATTCTCCGCTAGCTGAGCCACCCAGGCATCCCAGGAATCTCTGTCTTGACTTGTAACCACTGCCTTGCTCTTCTTCATGGTTTCATTGCCCAAATGGTCATCCCGAAATACTAGGGTTTAGTTTTTGTCTATTTTTAGTACTTTTTCTTTAACCTTTTCAGGCTACAATTTATCCCTTTCTCTCTCTTTTTAAGGTTTATTTTTAGAGAGGGGCCGGTGCCCATTTTGGGAAGGGGGAAAGGGAAAGGGAGAGAATATCAAGCAGACTTCTCCCTGAGCTCAGAGCCTGATGCAAGGCTGAGTCTCATGACTGGGAGATCATGACCTGAGCCGAAACCAAGAGTCAGACGCCCAACTGAGCAAACCACCCAGGCTCCCCAAAACCATTTTCTTTAAACTCAAAGTGTAAGGAGGAGGGGTGCCTGGGTGGCTAGGTCAGTTGAGCACCCAACTCTTGATTTCGGCTTAGGTCATGATCTCAGAATTGTGAGATGGAGCCTGCCATCAGGCTCCTTGCTCAGTGAGGAGAGGAGACTGCTTGGGTCTCTCTCTCTCTCCCTCTGCCCCTCCCCGTGCTTGTGCTTGCGCTCTCTTTACCCCTCTGTCTCAAATAAATAAATAAGTCTTCAAAAAAAATAAAGAGGGATGCCTGGGTGGCTCAGTCCATTAAGTGTCTGCCTTTGGCTCAGGTCATAATCCTAGGGTCCTGGGATCAAGTCCTGCATGGGGCTCTTTGCTCAGCGGGGAGCCTGCTTCTCCCTTTGCTTGCTGCTCCCCCTAATTATTCTCTCTCTCTCTATGACAAATAAATAGATAAACTCTTAAAAAAAAATGGGTTTGTTGACCTGCAGAATTTGCTACAGCCTGAATTTTGCTGATTCCATCTCCATGGTACTCCTAACCTTGTTATTTGGTCTTCCAAGTTTATAGCAAGTTGGTAGTTGGATCTAGATGCTTGACTGTGTTTGGATTCAGCTTTCTGGCAAAGCCTACTCTCTGTAGGCGGTTCTGTGTTCTGTCAGTGGGTACATAGTCTGGCGGTTCCTTTTTTCATTGTTAGTAACTATTGAGTCTCAAGATGGAGGTCCATTAATTTAATAAAGATTCCAAGATGGAGATATTTTAATACCATCATTCCTCCTTTGTATTTATTAACTAGACTATTTCCGTAAAGAGCAACTTCCCTGGAAATGGGGCATGGCTGGAAAGGGGCCACCCCCTTCCCCATCAGTCATTGCATGTTTGAAGGGAATGTCTTGCTAAATTATTTGTAGATGATCTGTTTCTGGGTTGGAGTTTCACACGTTGCGGAGCAGTTTCCTCATTGTCATCTATTGAAATCAGGCTTGGGGCAGCTGTGTGGGTCAGTTGGTTAAGCATCTGCCTTCAGCTCAAGTCATGATCCCAGGGTCCTGGGATAGACCTCTGCATTGTCCATTGTCTGAGCAACCTGAGTCTCTTTCTCCCTCTCCCGTTGCACCTGCCCCCCCCCCCCCCCCCGCTCGTGTGCATGCACTCTTTTCTCTCTCTCTCGCTTTCCCTCTCTTTCTCAAATAAATAAATAAAATATTAAAAAAAAAATCAGGCTTGCACACAAGAAATGGAGCTTTCTCTCAACTATTTTTGGTTACCCAGTGGTATGATTTATATGGGAAAAGTAAACCTTTTCAAAATAAGTTGGTTTCCTGTCATTGTTTCTAAGATGACCAGCTGTTATATTTTAGTATTATTTCATAGATTTCAGTATATTTAATGAGTTTCATAACACTGCAGTTAACCTTTCTGACTGGTGGAAGTCCCTTCAGGTTGACCCCTGAGCCTAGTAGTCTTTGACTTTACAGGCCATCCCCTACAAGGAGATGTTCTAGGCTCCCTGAGTGTATTTCCTGCCCCAGGTGTGGAATTGGCCATTTCAAAAAGAAATCTTTATTTCTTTTTGTGGGAAATGGAAATTAGTCTAGGTATTATAGCAGTGGGTACATTGCTAGGTACAGTAGCAGTGAGCTGGGTTAGTCATTCTTTCTAGGCCTTTTTAGTGGATAGAGGTAGGAAATATATTATTACCTTATGAATTATATGGCATACTGTTGAATGTTGGAATTTTAAGTATATAGTGGAATTATAATTCTATTTAAAATTCAGTACTAAGGGGTTTTTACCTGATCTCCTCTAACTCTTATTTTCCTCTCTTCCACAACAAAAATTCTGGTTTTTAAGGACAACAGGAATAACAAAACCAGAATATTACATGATCACTCATTTGTTTTTCCCATGTATCACACACAATAGCGATACCCTACCAATATTATGTTCCCTCTTCATGATTGAAAATAGTTCCATTCTGTGTTGTCAGCATATAACCGTGACACGATATCATCTCCCTCTTACAACACTCATTTAGTATTATAATTAGTAACTTAATTCTGTAACAAATATATATTTAATGCTCACCACTGCCTTCGTATCCGTGTACTCCTAGTCATTTTGGTTGTGTTAAATGCCTTCTCTAGTAGCCTTCTCAGAAAATGCTTGTGGAAACAATACTTTGAGTTCTTGCATGCTGGCCTTTATATGGCAATATGAATTTGGTTTGGTTAGTTAGACCCTAGACTCATAATTTCAATTTTATGAATCTTAAATGATTTTCTTCTGCCTCAAAGCACTGCTGTTAAAATTGAAGATAGTCTTTCCACTTAAGTGACTTGGTCTCTTTTGATGGTTGTTCAGAGTACTTTTTTTTTCTTTAGAGATGAGCAGTTTTACCAGAATATATGTCTTAGCGTTGGTCATCCTGGGTTAATTTTCTCAGACGACGTGGTCTTCCAGATCTTTTGTATTCTAGGAACATTGAATTGGTTTTTAGTGTTTATCCTGTTCCCTTTTGTTTCCTACTGCCCAGATGCTGTTGTGTGCATGTTGGAGTTTGTCTTCCTTGACTGTCACTTGTTCTGAAGACCTATTTATTGCTTCATTTCTTTATGATTTAAAAAAATTCTCTTTAAATTCTTTTCTCCTACTTTGAGTTTAGTATTTTTAAAATTATTTTTTCATTTATATCTAATTCCTTTTATGTTCTAGCCCTCATTTCTGAGTTTTTCTGATTATATTAAGTGGTTTTTTTAATCTTTTATTATTTTAATACTTTACCATGTTATGAAATAACAGGTTATAGTTTTCATCTGTTTTGTGGACATGTCTTTCTTGTGTGTTTTCATTATCTGTAGAGATGTGATTCTGTTCTTTTTTTTTTTTTTTTTTTTTTAAACACAATCTTTTTTTTTTTTTTTTTTTTTTAAGATTTTATTTATTTATTCGACAGAGAGATATCACAAGTAGACAGAGAGGCAGGCAGAGAGAGAGAGAGAGAGAGAGAGAAGCAGGCTCCCTGCTGAGCAGAGAGCCCGATGCGGGACTCGATCCCAGGACCCTGAGATCATGACCTGAGCCGAAGGCAGCGGCTTAACCCACTGAGCCACCCAGGCGCCCTCTTTTTTTTTTTTTTTAAAGATTTTATTTATTTATATGACAGAGAAAGATCACAAGTAGGCAGAGAGGCAGGCAGAGAGAGAGGAAGGGAAGCAGGCTTCCTGCTGAGCAGAGAGCCCAACGCGGGGCTCGATCCCAGGACCCTGAGATCATGACCTGAGCTGAAGGCAGCGGCTTAACCCACTGAGCCACCCGGGCGCCCCTGCTCTTTTTTCTTGATAGAATTTTTGTATGGTATTTGATCATGGTATTTTTCTCTTCTTTTTTTTTTTTTTAAAGATTTTTGTTTATTTATTTTAGAGAGCACAAGCAGGGGGAGGGAGGGACAGAGCAAGAGGGGGAGGGACAAGCAGATTGCCCGCAGAGCCCAGCACTGTAGTTCAGTCCCAGGACCCTGAGATCATGACCCAAGCCAAAGTCAGACAACCAGCTGAGCCAACCAGGTGCCCCCTTTTCTTTTCATTTTTACATGAAATTAGTTTTCTTGAAGGATTCTGGTTCAGAAAAGTGTTTCTTTTATTCTTTTTCTTTTCTTTTCTTTTTAAGATTTTGTTATTTGACACAGAGAGAGAGACAGCAAGAGAAGGAATACAAGCAGGGGGAGTGGGAGAGAGAGAGAAGCTTAGCAGGAAGCCTGATGTGGGGCTCCATCCCAACCTGAGCCAAAGGCAGAGGCTTAAGGACTGAGCCACCCAGGGACCCCCAGAAAAGCTTTTCTAATGTCATGGCTCTAGAGCTCCCTCTTCGTTGTTTTTGTGAAGTGCCAAAAAATATGGCAGTTTATTGAAGCGATTGGGTTCTATTCCCCTTCCTTGTTTTTATCTGGATTCTTCACCTCTGTTTTCTTTATAGTTCTGTGTTAGTCAGTTTGGGTTCTAATTACCGCAGATTTCTTTGTGTGAGACTTTGTCCTGAAAGTTTTAAATGGCTAGTTTGGAAAGCTTTTTTAAGGATTTAAGTGGCAGAACTCCTGGTCTCAGCTGCTCAAATTGGCCCTCTAAGCTTATTGTAGTGAGTTCCTGGTGGTTCTTTTGGGAGTTTGGCAAATGGTCTATGGTTCCTTCTGCTTCTTCCTTCAGAGATGATGATGTCCTACACTGTATGTAACCCTACCCAGTTATATTTTTTGTTTCATCATTCTACCTTATTACCTAGTGTTATAGGTGATCACCCTTAGGTTTTTGCTTTGCTATCTTAGTTTGTGTAGCTAATTTTTTTGTGCAGGGTCGGGATAGAGATTTAATAAGATTGAAAAACTGTACTCACTGCTACCATCTTCTGAAAATCTTCCAAAAGACAATTTTTAAGAATTAAATATCTAAAGTAAATGTTGACCTATGTTAAATCAAGATAATAGGTTTTTTTTATTGTTCTCTGTGTTCTTCTGTTTGCTTAAGATAGTTTATAATTAAAGAAAAGATTCAAATTTAGCAACATGTAATGAGGAGTCATGCAGATACTTTCCCCCCGCCTTCCTTCCCTGTATGTATGTTTTTGCTTGTTTGTTTTCCTTTTTCTTGCCTTATTGCATGGGTGAGAATTTCCAGTATTCAGTAAGAATGCCAGAGTATACATCCTTGCATACTTCTTGATTTTGGGAGAGAAACATTCAGTCTTTTGTCATTATGCTTGATGTTCCTGGTAGTTTTTTTGGTAGATGTCCCTTACCAAGTTGAGGACACTTGTATTCCTAATTTGTGGAGTGCTTTTATCCTAAATGGATGTTGAATTTTGTGAAATGCTCTTTCTGTATCTATTAAAATGATCTCATGGTTTTTCTTCTTTAGTTCAATATAGTGAATTATATTTATTACCTTTTTTTAAAAGATTTTATTTATTTATTTGACAGAGAGATAGATCACAAGTAGGCAGAGACGCAGACAGAGAGAGAGGGGAAAGCAGGCTCCCCGCTGAGTGGAGAGCCCGATGTGGGGCTCGATCTCAGGTCCCTGATATCATGACCTGAGCTGAAGGCAGAGGCTTAATCCACTGAGCCACCCAGATGTCCCTATTTATTGCTTTCTTGAATGCTGAACCAATTTTGTATGCCTGAGATAATCCCCTTTTGTCCCCATCATGATGTGTTAGTCTGTCTGTTTATTGCTGGACTATTTGCTGAAATTTTGTTAAGTAATTTTTAGTCTGCGTTCATGGGAGATACTCGTCTTTTTTCTCATGTAACACAGTGTCTTTTTCTGGTTTTGATATCAAGATGATGCTGGGCCTGATAGAGTGAATTAGAAAGTGTTTCTGGAAGAACTTGTGTAGAACTTTTGAGAAGAGTTTTTATGGAATTGGTGTTTTTTACTTAAATATATGGTAGAATTCACAGTGATGTCATCTGGGTCTGGAGTTTTCTTTCTTCCTTCCTTTTTTTAAAGATGTTATTCATTTATTTATTTTAGAGAAAGGGAGCTCCTGCAAGAGGAGGGAGGGGCTGAGGGTTATGGCAAGGAGGAGGGAAAGAATAACAAGGAGATCCTGCCCTGGGCACAGAGCCCATGTAGGGTTTGATCCCACAACCCTGAGACCACAACTCCAGTTAAAATCAAGAGTGGATGCTTAACCCACTGAGTCCCCTGGAGCTCCCCTGGCCCGGGACTTTTCTTTATGGAAACGTTTTTAACTGTAAATTCAGCTTAATGGAAACAGGGCTATTCAGCATGTCTGTTTCTTCTGGAGTGAGCTTTGGTAGCTTATGTCTTTCTAGGATTTTGTCTGTTTCATGTAAATTAAAACATGTGCTGGTATAGTTGTTCATATTATCCTGTTATTATCCTTTTAATGTCAGTAGGGTATGTAGCGATGTCCCTTCTCTGTTGCTTCTTACTGGTGACTTCTGCTTCTGCGGTGTTTTGTTGGAGTCTGCTTAGAGGTGTCTTTTATTTTGTTTCCTTTCATTTCGTGTTTCATTTCTTTTGATTTCATTATTTTGGTTTTAATCCTCTCAAGATTAAATGTTTTTCTCTATTGTTTTCATTTTTCTAAAGATTGATTTACTCTTAAGAGAGAGAATGTGAGCAAATGTGTGTGTTTGGGGGGGGTGGATGGGCAGAGGGAGAGGGAAAGAGAATCTCCTGCAGACTCCCCACTGAGCATGGAGCCTGATGCAGGGCTGTGTCCCATGACCCTGACATCACGAGCTGAGCCTAAACCAAGAGTCTGATGCCTAACTGACAGCAGCACCCAGGTGCCCTCTGTTATTTTTCTGTTTGACTGATACCTCCTTTTTCTTCATTCTTTTTTTTCTTACTCTTTTTGGATTTAGTTTTCTTTTTTAGTTTCGTAAGATGAAACCTAGATCATTTTTTAAACTTTTTTTTAAGGCTTTATTTATTCATTTGAGAGAGAGAAAGAGCATGAACAGGGGAGAGAGACAGAGGGAGAGGGAGAAGAAGACTCCCAGTGAGCAGGGAGCCTGATGTTGACTTGATTCCAGAAGCCTGAGATCAGGACCTGAGCTAAAGGCAGATGCTTCATGGACTGACCCACCTAGGCGCTCTCTTCTTTTCTAATATATATGTTTACTGCTGTAAATTCTCTTATAAGCATTGCTTTACTGCATTCCACAAATTTTGCTACCATTTTTGTTCTTGATTTCTAACTTAATTCTATTAATGTTGGGGAACATGATTTTTATGAAATAGTCTTTGAAGTTTTTGAGTCTTACTTCATAGCCCAGTGTGGAATATTAATATCTCAGGATTATTATTACTTGTGTTATATTTCATCAGAAATAGCAAGTGTTTGAGTTTGTTTCTCTTCTATTTCAGGTCTTGGTATGGTAACTCCTGTGAATGACCTGAGAGGATCTGATTCGATCGCCTATGACAAAGGGGAGAAATTACTGCGGTGTAAGTTGGCAGCATTTTATCGGCTGGCAGATCTCTTTGGATGGTCTCAGCTTATCTACAATCACATCACAGTGAGTATTAAATGGGGTAGTAACTGAGTAATAAATGGAATATTACGTGTCTGGCACCACCTCTTCCCGTTTAGGGAAGGAAGGGTCAACTGAGCTGAAGTCAAACTTGGAACACCTTCTTTCTCATTCCTGACTACAGAGCGTAATCATCTGAGAATTATGTGGTTTGAATTAAAAATTACAAGGACAGTAGTTCTTTAAAACTCACTTTTTGCATACTGACCTTATAAATGAGCGTTTACCAAAGTATAGTCTTCCCCTGTTACCTGGGGTCTTGCTTTCTGCAGCTTCAGTTAAACTTGCTGTCGGCCAGTCTAGAAACACATGGCCCTGCTTCTGGTGTATGGTCAAGGTCAGTGGTAGCCGCTTGCTGAGTCACACGCCCACAGCACTCACCTTTTGTAGCTCCTCACCTACATCATCACAAGAAGAACGGTGAGCACAGGGCAGTAAGACATTTTGAGAGAGAGGGAGAGACCATATTCACACAACTTTCATTGTAGTGTATTATTATACTTATTCTAGTTTATTATTTGTTATTGTTATTAATCTCTTGTTATTAATCTCTTGCTGCGCCTAGTTTATAAATCAGACTTTATCATGAGTATGTAGACATAGGGGAAAATAGTGTATATCGGGTTTGGTACTGTCTGCGGTTTCTGGCATCCACTGGGGGTCTTGGAATGTCTCTCCCACAGATAAGGGGAACTAGGGTACATGCCATTCCCAAAAATCTTTTTATGCCTAAAAACCAAAGAATGAAGATGTTTGTTTTATTTCTTGTTCTGACCCAAGTCTTCTATTTCTCATAGTTTCTTTTCTTTTTAAAAGATTGTTTTTATTTGGCAGAGAGAGCACAAGCAGAGGGAGCAGCTGGCAGAGGGAGATGGAGAAACAGACTCCCCACTGAGCAGGGAGTCTGATATGGGACTCAGTCCCGGGACCCTGGGATCATGACCTGAGTCGAAGGCAGACGCTTAACTGGCTGAGCCACCCAGGCGTCCCATCTCATAGTTTTTTCTTTAGCTGCTCCAGTTTTAGCTATTTTTTAACATTATCAGGACTTTTGTTTTCTTCTTTCAGTAAGTTTTTACTTGATGTCTGCTGTAAATATTGATTCTGTATCAAGCATTATTCTAGCTCTGGGGTTCTGTCATGGAGTGAGACAAGTCCTGCCTTTTTGGCTCATCCTTCCTACATCCCAAATCATTGGCCCCTATTTCCTCCCTGTTTGGTCCAGCATGGTGTATCCTGTCCGTGCCACTCTTCGCCAGTACTGTGCTATTCCTCCCTGCCCCCAAGCATCAGACCCTGCTGCAGGGAGCCTCATTTGCAACTGGCTTTCTCCTTAGACTGCAGCCCCAGTTGCAAATGAATCCCCAGTGCTGCCTGGCACTGTAGGACGTCTCACTTAGCCAGCTCACTAGTGTTTCTCTACTCTGTTGTCCTCGAAACTCTTGACCTCTTTTCTCCTAGCAAATGAGCACAGTGTGTCACAGAGCATGTGGGAGCGCCTGACCACCTGCAGCCAAACCTTGTTTCCCAGTTGGAGTTTCACCCCATCTCTTGCCACCTTTGATTCCTAGTGCCTTGTCAGGCTTCTGTTTTTCTCTTTGTTCTTCTTTTGAGATAACCTCTTTCTCTGACTTTTATACTTATTCCAGTCTCTGTTTCTTCATTGAATTTCTGTTATTGGATATTTCAAATTATTAATATAGTGCCTACTTCTAGTAATAAGTGTGCCTCCCACAGACGTCTGCAGAAGTCAGTCCTGCTGGTACTCTCACCTCCCCTAGGGCCACTGCTGTTAACAGCCGCTTAGACTGTTTTACCCTTTTCTTAATAGCCAGCGCACATGTAGGTGATTGTCACACGTGGACTGGTAGTGGTGCTAGGTTCGCTCCATTGTAGCCTGCGGGGAGTGCCAAGCCTCTGAGGAGGAGGGTGGTCTGGAGCCCACCTTTTTGGCCAGTGCACTGTGCTTCCAGGACATGGGATGGATCTTGGCCAGAGATGTCGTATTACCCTCCCCTCTGTCTCTTCCCCACGTTGCCGTTAAAGTTCGCTTTTGAAAATGCAAACCTGGCCCTGTCGTGTCCACACGGTCAGGCCTGTAGGATATTACCTCCACCCAGCACACCTACTTCATTTCCCCCAAAGCAGTTACTATCACCCATACTTTCCATTTGCTTGTCTGCCATCCATCTCCACTCACAGGAACATTGAGTCTGTGAAGGGTGCTTCTGTAGGTACACAACAACCCAAAATCTGGCCTCAGTAAAAATATCGAACAGGAACTGGGAACTCCATGGTGCCTTGTGGTGCTTGGTTGGAGGGTCCACTTAGCCTGCCACTTCTGCCAGTTCTTACAGTTCTGTCCCTGGCGCCTCTGTGAGAATTGCTGGCATCTGTGACTGATCCTGCTTGACGGAGTGCTCTGTGGAGGGACTTTAATGCTCGTTGGTTGGCTAAGTTCCATGAAAATGTCACATCTACAAATCAGAAATGTGATCCTTGGCTTTACTAACAGCTTCATATTCTTTGGGGGTTTAAAATGCTGTTTACCAGTAGTCCCCACTATGAATGCTATTTAAGTTTAACTTGCTGAAATTGCTTTTGCCACCCATTACCCCCTTTATTTAGTACTTGGCAGAATTAAAACATTAGTCAATGTTCACTCTTTTGTAGATGATCTGTGTGGCCTTTAATACTTACGAGTAGAAAAGATACTGAAGCACAAAAATATTTCCTGTATCTTGTGAACTAGAGAATCTTTGAGGAAGAAAGTTTTGTTCTTATTTTTTTAACTACTTATGGCATTCATTTTTTTGTTTTACAATCTAAGTGTTATCATACAAACTCTTAACAGAAATATTAACAGTATTTGTCAGTGCAACCAAAAAGTACTACCAGGTCACTGTGCCCTTTCTTTGAAAGGGGGCCTAGGGATTTTCTGCTGAAGGGAGTTAAGAGCACTAGCGGGCATTGGAGGATTGGAGATGATTGTCTGAATTAGATCTCTGTCTTAAGATCACATCAGGTTTCGAGAAGCTTTGGGGGGGTGTCAGAAGCCACGGTGGCCCAGTTAGCATGGGAGCTGGACTTCTCCTCGTGGTGGTGCTTAGCTAATGCTGAGGCCTTTCCACCTCTAAATGCCTCTTGGTTCAGCTCCAGTGTGAACTGCGGGGTGTGCTAAGCCTCGGGGGTGGGCTGGAGCCCACCTTTGTGGCCAGTGTGCTGTGCTTCTGGGACATGGTGTAGATCTTTACCAGAGAGGCTGTGTTGGGTGTCCTTGGTTTTTAGGGAGTGACCTTAAAATCTTCGATGTGAGTGCTCAGTCCTTCTGGACAGACAAGGGGCACCAGGTGTGTAGGAACATAAGCAGTGAGGGTGGCACCAGCCCTTCGGAAACTTTCTTGCAGATATTCTCTGCTCTTGTTTACTTCACACCTATATTTAGTATTTTTGCCTTTATTATTTAGAGAGAGAGTGGGTGCGCTCACCTGTGCATGTGTGCCCATGTGGTGGGGAGGGGCAAAAGGAAAGAAAGAGAATCTCAAGCAGGCTCCACACTCAGCATGGAGCCAGATGCAGGCTCGATCTCACAACACTGAGATCATAACCTGAGCCAAATCACAAGTCAGATGCTTAACAAAAAGTGAGCCACTCAGGTGCCCCAGCACTTTTTCCTTTTTTGCTTCAGACTCAGAAAATTGTATATTTTAAGCTTTTTCTATTAAAATATGTAGATTTGATAGGCTTTTTTTTTTTTTTTTTTGAGATACATTTTGTTTGAGAGAGCAAGAGAGAGCACGAGCAGGGGGAGGGACAGAGGAAGAGGGAGAAGCAGACTCCACGCTGAGTGGAAGCCCATCACAGGGCTCCATCCCAGGACCCCCAGATCATTACCTGAGCCGAAAGCAAGAGCCAGGCGCCCAACCGAGTGAGCCATCCAGGTATCCCTAGATTTGCTAGGCTCTTAAGTCAAGGAAGAAAAACTGTTAGTATTCTTTATAATAAAATTTGAGTCTAAATATCCAGGAGTAGGTGGGATGTGGCCCCGTTATTAACACCAGTTTGAGAGAATGTTGTATGCTATGAACAACGTTACAAAGACCATGTGAAGAAATGAGAAGTCATTATAAGCAAGAGAGCATACACTGTATACTGCTAGTAACTATATGCACAAGGTCTTCATGGTGATAGGGAAGCATGTTATTGGCTTTGTAGTAGGGTTTGTTTTTTTTTTTATTGTAGTAGGTTTTTAACGTGGAACCTGATAGCATGCTTTTAAAATTTATATGGAAGACAAAAAGTCCAAGAGTAGCTAAGATGAACTAAGTAAGGAGTTTTTCCTAACGACTGTCAACTTATAAAGTGATGTGGATTGTAATTGACGCTGACATAGTTGGACCGAAAAATCGAAATTGGAAAGTTATATATTTATACCCAACAAAGCAATCCAGCGAATTCAGAATTTTTTTTTAATTGGTCAGGCCACACCCCACTGCCTTTTAAAAGTCATTTTATTTTACTTTTTTAAGATTTATTTTATTATTTTTGACAGACATCACAAGTAGGCAAAGAGGCAAGCAGAGAGAGAGGGGGAAGCAGCCTCTCCGCTGAGCAGAGAGCCTGATGCGGGGCTCGATCCCAGGACCCTGAGATCATGACCTGAGCCAAAGGCAGAGGCTTTAACCCACTGAGCCACCAAGGCACCCTCAGAATTTTTTTTTTTATTATTTTAAAGATTTTATTTTTTTGAGAGAGAGCGCATGAGTGGGAGGGATGGGTAGAGGGAGAGGGAGAAGCAGGCTGCCTGTGTGGGGCTCGATTCCAGGACCCTGGGATCATGACCTAAGCTGAAGGTAGATGCTTAACCCAGGTGCCCCTAGATTGTAATTTTTAAAGAAGATGGCAGTAGAAACACGGAGCTCCCATACACTGCTGGAAGGAATGTACATTTAATTAGGCCCTTTGGAGATAATTTAGTGTCTCTGAAAAAACCTGACCATTTATGCTGGGAGACAGGTACAAGAACGTTCCCAGCATTGGGTTATGTAGCAAAACAGGAGCCATGGGCAGTGACAGAAGAATGGACGCATTTGTTGTGTATTCATCCAGTATCATGAGTATCATAATGTGGAGGAGTCTCAGAAATAATGTGGAGGAAGAAAGGTCACTGAAAAATGCAGTATGATTCCAATTATTTGAGGTTCATAATCAGATAAAAATTAAACAAGATATGGCTTCAGGATGAATATTTATTAGGTAAAACTGTAAAGTCAAGGAAGAAGATGCTGAACACATAATTCAGGATAGTGGTTACTTCTGGGGAACAGGGAAGAGACAAGCTTCCAGGAGACTAGAGAGTGTTTGATTTATTATTATACTTAAATTGTACATGTACCCTCTAAACACTTTTTATACGTTGTGTGAGATAAAAACTGTTGAAGGAAGTAAATATATCTGGTGTTTAATTTTTTCTTATTTCCAGCCTTTTTTTTTTTTTTCCATTCTAACCAATAAATGCACAAAGGAATTCCTTGTTTTCTGTTTCGATCCAACTTGGGAATTGGGATAATTGTCTAGTTAGTTTTATTTTAGATAAAAAGATGTATGCTTTTTAAAATACAAGAACTGAATTTAGAAATAAGCCTCACTAAACTCACCATTAATGGGAAAATATTTTCAGTAAAGGTGGAAATCACGTGGGCATTTTTGAAACAACCATGAGAATGGGGAAATGGGGATTTACAGAGAGTGGACATCACAGAGGTGGATTTAAAACAGACTCATTCATGGTCATGATTTACTACTGCTGCTCCTACTGCTAGTACTCGTGGGGAGATGCTGTTTACTGCATTGTGAGTAGGAGCTCTTATCATTCCCTCTTTAAGGATAAGGATGCCGGCGGGGAGGGGCACCTGGGTGGCTCAGTTGTTAGGCTCCTGCCTTTCACTGGGGTCATGATCCTGGGGTCTTGGGGTCAAGCTCTGCATCGGGCTCCCTGCTCTATGGGAAGCCTGCTTCTCTCTCTCCCACTCCTCCTGTTTGTGTTCCTTCTTTTGCTGTGTCTCTCTGTCAAATAAATAAAATATTAAAAAAAAAAAAAAGGATAAGGAGACTGGGAACGCACTGTCCCAAATGAGCCTGGCCTATACCTGGCAGAGCTAGGATTCTAACTAAGGTCTTACCGTGATTGTGGATCAGAGTTATGCTATACTTCAGGGGTCAAGTAAATTTAACACAAAGCTGACATGAAACGGTCAGGTAGTTTCAGGTGTCTGAGAACTAAATTGTAGAAGTGGGGAGTTGGGTTTGTACTGTGTTGCATACTAGAAAGAGTGATGAAAAGTTGAGGAAGACAGGTTTCTGCTCAGTGTGAGAGAGAATGTTTGATTACTAGCTCTCCAGAGTTATTTCCATCTGTAGCGTAGCCCCCTGTGGTGGAGCTGGCGGTCAGTGGCTGTTTGCTGAATGAAGAAATGAGGCAGGAGGGTGGGGATGTGGTGCCCATCATGACATCTGCCCCAGCAGACCCTGTGTGTGCTTCTGTTCAGGCTACTACAAAAGTCACCACACTGGTTAGGAAGTTAGGCTAAACACTGTAATTCCTTTCCCATGAACGCTACAAATGACCAGCCTCGTCCCTGTTGGAGCTCTTTGACTAGCAGTGAACGTGTTCCAATATGATGGCTTTGGGAAATCGTTTGAGTCTCCCCAAATCATCATAAAGACTAAACTGAGTGTTTAGAGGGCAGGACTCTTTTTTCCTGTGGTATTACGAGCATCTAACACAGGTACGTAGCATGTGCCACATTGGTACTGAATGAATTGTAGAAAGAAAGCCTTTGAGGAAGGAGCAAACTGACCAGGGGCGTGGTGATGGGGTGTGGTTGAGACTTTGAAATCCATCAGGCCATAAGGAAGACCCCTCTGTTGTTTGTGCTTGTTAGGATTGTTCACTAGCCTGTGGGTTTTGAGCACTAAAGACAAAGTCCCTTTGGATAAAAGTAAGTTTTGGTTTTCACCATGATATGCCTGAGGAGTGGTGTCTTTCTGCATGTGGTACTGGCTTCGTAGCTACCAGGTTTCCTCTTTATGAAGTCAGTTGTCATGAATGCGACCAGGATGCACGTTATATACCTGAGACGTGACTACAGTATGATGATGGAAGCTTCCAGTCCTTGTAGTTCCGTGACAGACGCTGTACCTACGGGCTTTCCTGTGTAGCTCACAGAATGTGCACAATAAACCTGTGAGTTTGTGGATAGAAAGAGATGCGATAATTTCAGTTGGATTTTTGAGCTGACTTAGCAATTTTCCTTACAGACCAGAGTGAGCTCCGAGCAGGAACATTTCCTCATTGTTCCCTTTGGACTTCTCTATAGTGAAGTGACTGCATCCAGTTTGGTAAGAATATCCTTTTCCTCTTGGGTATCATGTGTGTCTAGGTCAGAGTTGATAATTAAATACCTTTTAATCTCATGAGACCTATAAAACCCAAGAAAGAGGACAAAGTTTGTGTTTTGTGTGATAAACTCAGAAAAAAAAAGCTTTAGAATTAGTTATAAACACTTTAAACTTTGGCTGAAATAATTTCTAGGAAGGGACATTTGAAATCCTCTTGACATCTTAAATTTTTTTTTTGCTTATTTTCAGGTTAAAGTCAATATACAAGGAGAGATAGTAGATCGTGGAAGTACTAACCTAGGAGTAAACCAGGCTGGCTTTGTGTTACACTCTGCCATCTACGCTGCGCGACCAGATGTCAAGTGCGTGGTGCACATCCACACGCCGGCAGGGGCTGCGGTGAGTGTGCTGCTCCCCGAGTGACTCGGAGTGAAAGCTGTGGAGCGAGAGGCGCTTCACATGTCCTCATAGTTGTGCTCTCTTGAGGCAACAAGTCAATAAGCCTGGTTTTGTGGAGTAGAAAAAGTCTTTGACTAAGTTTACTTTCTTAAAAGAATTTTTTTCCTTTTAAGGGGTCTATACGCTCTCTAGTTTTGGAAAACCTGTGTGAATCTGAAAGTGTCCATTAGACTTAACAGAAAGTTGGAGTGTGTTGAGGGTGAGGTCAGACTTCAGTGTGGGGAAGACCGCTGGGAGCTGCAGAGGGAGGGCCGTAAGCAGACTCCTTGTCTGTGAAGAGGGTTTGTGGGGGGTGCCAGACAGGCTGCAGGGGGAGGATGCGGTGGGCTCAGGGAAGTGCTACGGGGATGCAGGAGGCCTGGACCTGCTCATGGTCCCTGGGGTGCCAGATAGGGGTGGCAGACGTGAGAAGGGGGTGGTTGAGGCCTGGAAGCCTCTAGATGTCTGCCGGAAGCCAGCTGACGCTGGGGTTGGATCATCATAGGAAGGAGAGGAGGAACGGCTGTGGCAAGAGGAAGGCACAGACCTCGTAAGCTGTTGGGAGACCTGGCCTCTGAGCCCGGAGCTTCCCCAGAGCCCGCCCCAGCACAGTCAACAAGCCTGGACCCTTCTTGTGCCCACAGGCCAGACCTCCTAGCCTAAACATGCCCATTCTGGTGTTAGTATGGTCATGTGACAGTGAAACACTGCAACTCTCCAGAATTGGCTTTTTATCACCCATTGTCTATTCTAATGACTTTCTGGACTTACTTTTACCACACATAACCTCGTGGATTCAGTAATGCTGAATGTTCACCTGATGTTTTAATGTCATGCGTATGGGATTGTTTTAATGAATGTTTGATCTGTCTGGCTTAGTTATTTTACTTTGAACATGTGGTTCTAGATGTCAACATAAGAGTTTTAGTAGAGCTATCATTTTCTGAATTTTTTTCTAAAAAAAAGTGTGCTCTTCCAGCCATAAAAAGTCCATGTATTTTAATGAACCATTAGCAGTACCTTTAAAAATATGGTTACAAACAGCTTACTGTATAATTTTTTTAAAAAAGATTTTATTTATTGATTTCACAGAGGGAGAGAGAGATCACAAGTAGGCCGAGAAGCAGGCAGAGGGGTGGGGGGGGGGGAGCAGGCTTCCCGCTGAGCAGAGAGCCCGATGTGGGGCTCGATCCCAGAACCCTGGGATTATGACCTGAGCCAAAGGCAGAGGCTTTAACCCACTGAGCCACCCAGGAGCCCCTGTATAATTTATTTTAAAACATACCAGATCACTTCACTTGGAAATTTCTTCTAGGAAAGCTGATACCGTGAGAGAGATTAAATATGACGTTGCCACCTTTTTTGTGGTGGCATCTTTAAGATGAACTTGTGGGCAGTTGTTGCACTTGTGGATACTCTTGGAATTTTTGGAGCCTGTTAGTTGAGGTAGAAATCCTTAAAAGTTAGCACATTCCAAAGTCAATTTGGGAACATTAAGGAAATTAAGGGCTTTATGAACACTTAGGATTGTTTTATTGCAATAGAAGAGAAATTATACAGCATAATTACTCTAAACTTCAGAAATTGGCTCTTTTCTACATTTCATGTTTCGTTCTCCCCTACAACTTGAGATGACAAGTGGGTCAGAACCTTACAGCACGTCCAAACCTTCTCTTTACAGGGTCATGGCTCACTCAGAGGGAGCCCTTGTCTCTCCTTGCAGTAGGGCCGGGCTCATCTTGCGAGGAAGCCTGAGCTCATATAGCATTATGATCAGTGTGGGAGAAGTCCAGAAAGACGTGGAATTTCTTTTGAGGCTCTCCCAGCATTGCAATGCCTTTGATTTTTAAGTGTCCATCTGTAGTAAGCCCCAGCAGTAAAGTTCATCTTAAGTTCATAGGTTCATTTATTTCTGAGAAGAGAACAAAATAAAATATGTTCCCCTTTTTATTTCTTTGAGGAAAGTGTTTGCCATGTCATCAAGGTGTGACTGTTGATTTGTCTTCATTCATGGTGACTGCTTGTTCTCTAGGTCTCGGCGATGAAATGTGGCCTCTTGCCAATCTCCCCGGAGGCGCTTTCCCTTGGAGAAGTGGCTTACCATGATTATCATGGGATTCTGGTTGAGGTGGAGGAAAAAGTATTAATTCAGAAAAATTTGGGGCCTAAAAGCAAGGTCAGTAGGCATCTAATCTGGTATTTAAATTGTATAGGAAAGAAGAAAAAAGTCAGAGTAGCTGTCTTCTTGCGTAGCTCCTCGAGCTTTCGTGTCTCCCTACAGGTTCTTATTCTCCGGAATCATGGGCTCGTGTCAGTCGGAGAGAGCGTTGAGGAGGCCTTCTACTACATCCATAACCTGGTGGTCGCGTGTGAGATCCAGGTGGGCGGGGACCAGTTTCTGCAGGCTATGACTTATTTTGGCATTTCAGGGTTCTTGCAGATTTTTGATACTTGTTTAGTAGGAATGAGTTTTTGCATAACCTCTTTGCCTGAGGTGAGCTAGTGGATTTGGAAACTGACCAGAGCAAATGCCATTTCACTGATTTAGGTTGGTGAACAGTTATTGGGCTTTTCATTTCTAGTTTTTGTTATTCAAATACAGACGTCACCACCATTTACAGAATGCTAGTGTGTGCCAGCCCCGTATCAGGTGCTTTATTTACATGTTATTTTGTTTGCCCCTCATGGCCCTGTTCGTGGAGGCAGGTACAGAGAGGGAGACATTTGCCAGCTGTGTTCAATCCCAAGTCTGTGCTCTCCCTACTGGAACCTTGACTTCATCTAGGCAGCACTGCAGTCCCCAGGCTCCTTCATACAGCCTTAAGAGGGGCTTTGATTCCCCGTTTCTCCTCCAAGCATGAGGGCCCAGTATCTTTGTTTTGCTAACGAAGAACTTCTGAAAATGACTTTGTGTGTGGATTATCTGTCTCTGTCCATCCTTCAGTTTTTATTCTTACACTCTGACGGCTTGGTTTCTTCAGAGACCTACATTTCTGTTTGAGTCATCTCTTGTCGTCATCTGATCTGATCCTTTTGTCCTCGGCAAGAAACTCAAACGGTACTATCTCCTTGTTTTGGAAAAGGTTCGAACTCTGGCCAGTGCAGGAGGGCCGGACAACTTAGTCCTCCTGGATCCTGGCAAGTACAAAGCTAAATCCCGATCCCCGGAGTCCCCAGCAGGGGAGGGCACCAGCTCACCTCCCAAGTGGCAGATTGGCGAGCAGGAGTTTGAAGCCCTTATGCGAATGCTTGATAATCTGGTAAGATCGTTGTTACCACCTGACGATAAAGCTTCTGTTCCAAAAGCAGCAATGTTGGTGTTTTTATAGCAAGTGAAATTGCTGTCTTCACGCGGTGTGTGAATGCTTTCCCCTCAAAAATCATGAAGAAGCACCAGGGCAATTCAACTCCTAAGCTAAGTCACAATAAAATAGGGAGGGTTGCTTGTGTTCCTTTGTTGTTTCCTTTGTGGGGACAGGAGCAGAGAGCATGCCTGCTCAAGTGGACAGTTTGGCCCTGGAGCAGCAGTTAGCAGCGCCCGACCTCCCACAAGCAGGCTGGGGGGTGGGGGAGCTTTAGCGTAGGAAGGTGGAGCCCCCCGGCGCCCCCGTGTGCTGCCATAGCTGTGGCAGGTGCTGTCAATGGCAGCACCGGGGCCCGTGGGGCCCGTGGGGCTCGTGGGGCCCATTTTAGCCTAACAGGACTGTTGGACCAGGGCACAGGTGGGACGGGTGGCCTCAGGAGGTAGGAAGTCTAACTTCCTTAAAGATTTTGGAACAAAAAGAGTATCAGATTCAGTGTGTGCGAAGTGTCCTCAGGAGCTGGATTTGTTTAGTCTGGGCGGAATGAACAGAGAAAGCAGAATCTTCCATAACTCCTGAATTCACTGGCCCCATAAAGATGGATTACGTTAACTGACCAGCTGCTCTTGAGCCTCTAGCCACTAATAGGACACAAGTAGTGCATGACCTAGCTGGGGAGAGGGACTCACAGTGCTAGAGGCAGCTGGGCATTTGGGATCTGAGTTCTGACAGGGCGTGATGAGGGCTGCAGAGGTGGAGATGGCACGGTCCAGGTCACAGGGAGCAAGAGGAGGAACAGAGCTCACTAAGGAGATAGAAGAAGCAGCTGGCATTAGGTGGGAGGGGGCAGTGGTGGCTCAGGTGTCAGCACTGGGCGGCAGGTTCCCCCAAGGGGCCCGATGAGACAGAGAGTGCTGGGGTGGCTTCTTCTCTTCTCCTGGCAGGCACTCTGATGTGTCTCACTGTTCTGTGACCCTGAAGTCAGGCAGGAAAACAGGAGAAAGGACTAAGAATCGAGAATGCCAGGCCACCACATGTTGTGTGCTCAGTGCCTTCTCAAAGAGGGAGAGAAACCAGAATTAGGGAATAACTCTAATTTGCTAGAGGAGGGAGAGGAAGGATGAAAGATGAATCGTTGAAGCGCTTGTTACAAGGGTGTGGTATTCAGTGTCCTTACTGCACATGGTCGCACAGTCATTATTGTCATTTAAAAAAAATTAATTTTAAATTTTAAATTAATTTTTAAAAATTAAATTAACTTATTTATTTATTGACAGAGAGAGATCACAAGTAGGCAGAGAGTCAGGCAGAGAGTCAAGCAGAGAGAGAGAGGGGGGAAGCAGGCTCCCTGCTGAGCAGAGAGCCTGATGCAGGGCTCGATCCCAGGACCCCGGGATCATGACCTGAGCCGAAGGCAGAGGCTTTAACCCACTGAGCCACCCATGTACCCCGTTATTGTAATTTTTTTAAAAAAAGATTTTATTTATTTATTTGACAGGGAGAACAAGAGCGTATAAGCAGGGGAAGGGGCACTGGAGAGGGAGAAGCAGGAGTGGGAGAAGCAGACTCCCCACTGAGTGGGGAGCCCAATGCAGGACTTGATCCCAGAACCCTGGGATTGTGACCTGAGCCAAAGGCAGACACTTAACCGACTGAGCATCCCAGGTGTCCTGATTATTGTCATTTAAAAAAAAAAATTATTTGACAGAGACACAGTGAGAGAGGGAACACAAGCAGGGGGAGTGGGAGAGAGAGAAGCAGGCTTCCCGCTGAGAGGGAAGCATGATGTGGGCCTTGATCCCAGGATCCTGGGACCACGACTCAAGCTGAAGACGCTTAATGACTGAGTCATCCAGGCCGCTGCTATAGTCCACATTTTGTGTAGCATTTGATTAACCATGTATGTTTCCCCGTAATTGGGCAGGGTAGATAATAGTTGAAGATTGTCATACTGTAAGACCTATTTGAACATAGAGTTAGAAGAAATGCTAAATTGCTTCCCTGAAAAACCAAGATGTAATTCCAGCTTGTCAAAGAAGGAAGGAATCCTTATGTTCAGCTGTAATCCACGCCCTGCAGCAGGTGTGAGGCCTGAGGATTGCCTCTCATTTTAGGATTGTAGCATTTAAAGGGGAAGTATAAGAAACCGTACCCTCTGAGGATAAGGTTTTGAGATGTTCTAGTGGTTTATCTTGGAGTCATGATGACGACTCAGGTGTCTTCCTGAGGAAGAAGACGCTGCAGTTGTTAAGAACCGTGTTTTGCTGAAGGTGGCCTTTTCACCACCGAGTGGTTAGCACTCAGCGTCCTCAGTGGCACGCTCAGCAGTGGAAACGCTGCAGGGTGGACACTTGCCTGTCTCTCTGAGGGCAGTGGTGGGAGAAACAAACAGCCACCGACTGATGACTTCATTTCGAGATTGTTACCACCCTTTTTTGAACATAGTAAAGGAATGATTGGTAATGAAAGTGGTCTCCAAGGAAGAGGAGCACCCAAAGGGAGCAAATTCCTCCCCTTCCGTCTTACAGGACAGAATCAGGAGAGAAACATGAAGGATTCTAAAGCTCCTCGGCAGATAGAGCACCGGCCGTGGCCCCTCTTGCATGACTAGCCTCTGATTCTCCGGTCACTCCCTATTCCTGTGTGGCTGTGAATGACTTGGTCCAGACATGCAGCTGTGGGTCAGGAGCTGGCTGAACCAGATTCTTGGCTTAGGGTCTCACAAGGAAGGCTACAGTCAGCGTGTTGGCCAGGACTGGACGTTATCAGAAGTCTGGGTGGGGGAGAATCTACTTCTAGGCTCCTTGGGAGTGTGGGCAGGATTCATTTTTTTAACAGCTGTAAGAGTCCTGGCAGCTTGGTTTTTCACAGTCAGTGATGGACAGAGAGACTCTCTCAGCATGGGTGCCATACTCGGGGTGCTTGAGTGGTGTAGTGGGTTGAGCTCCTGACTCTTGGTTTTAGCTCAGTGACATCACAATTTCAGGGTGGTGGGATCAAGTTCCATGTCGGTCTCTGCAGTTGGCACTGGGTCTGCCTGAAATTCTCTCTTCCTCTTCCTCTGCCCCTCCCACTCAGGCGCTCTCTTGTGTGCATGCTCTCTCTGAAATAAATAAATCTTTAAAACAACAACAACAAAAAGACAGGTGCTACACTCGTAAGTAATGCATCCAGTCACCTTTGCCAAATTCCGCTGATTAGAAGCCAGTTAGGTCCTGCGCAGCTCCAGGAGGGAGGGGCTAACAGCAGGCGGGGGGCTGTGGAGGGGGGTCATCATGAAGTCTGTATGCCACAGCCACCAGGTGCTAAGCACTGGTTAGGAGTAAGATGTCACACTTGCCTTGTGGAGAGTGTCTTTGGGAACTCAACACACAGGCCAGGCCAGCATGTGGGCCTGGTGCTATGACAGTGTGTTCCCGAGGTGTGAACCCGCAGGGCCCCGTCGTATGCCCTTAGTGAGTGGTTATGAGGCAGAACAGAAGGTTCAACTCAAGCGTTGTTACATTCAAAAGTAAAGCAATTTTGTCAGGAACCTTTGACCTTCCCCAAAGATTGCGACAGTATCTAAACTTTATCCTAAAAGGTAAACAAAAAGCTAAGTATTAATTAATACAGCCTGTACTCTAGCCAGCAGCAAGTAAGCCCTGTTTAATTATTGAGTTTATTAACTGTCTGACCGAGCACAATGCCTAACCAGTTCTCAGGTCAGAACATAGCAGCACCAGGGTGCCTGGCTGGCTCAGTCACTGGAGCATGGGACGCTTGACCTCAGGGTTGTGAGTTCAAGCCCCGTGTTGGGTGTGGAGCCTCCTTTAAAACAAATAAAACAAAACAAAACACCCCAGCAGCACCTCAGGACCTCTGTTTCCCTTTTAGGCACTTACCCATCCCAGGGGTGACCACTGCCACCTTGGTTTTACCTCTTCTTGTCCTTTTTATGGATGGAAGAATACAGTGTGTTCTTTCCCATTTGGTTCCTTTGACTCCACATCATTTTTGTGAGATTCCCTCTAATGTCGCCCCTGGTCCTGGAGTATTTGCTCGGGTTCCAGGTCCCTAGTTTGTTGTGTGGACGACCCTCAGTTGGCCTGCCCAGGTGTTGCTCGCTCTTTCTGGTCTGGGGCTGTGAGGAGCAATGCTGCTTTCAGAGTTCTGGTGTCAGTCCTTGTGTCTCTGCAGCCAGCAGCTAGGTGCATGCGTGCCCAGCTTTTCTAGGGCTTTACACACAGTCTTCCGAGGTGACGCTGTGTCGAGATCTGTAATGGTGACTGTCTTTCTGTCTCTTTGGCCCCTAGGGTTACAGAACTGGCTACCCTTACCGATACCCTGCTCTGAGAGAGAAATCTAAAAAACACAGCGATGTGGAGGCTCCTGCAAGTGTCACAGGTTACTCCTTCGCTGGTGACGGGGACCCGGGCACTTGCTCCCCTCTCAGACACAGTTTTCAGAAGCAGCAGCGGGAGAAGACAAGATGGCTGAGCTCTGGCCGGGGCGACGATGCTTCTGAGGAGGGGCAGAACGGAAGCAGCCCCAAGTCGAAGACTAAGGTGTGGACGAACGTTACACACGATCGCGTGAAACCCTTGCTGCAGTCTCTCTCGTCCGGTGTCTGCGTGCCAAGCTGTATTACCAACTGCTTGGTCTGTGCCTACCTTACTGTTCATAGTTAGATGACGTAGAGCAAGTGGGTAGCTGGGGCTTCGGAGGCTTTGGGAATCCAGTCCCCCTGACCTGGACTGAAAGCAAACCTTCCTCATTAACCTTCCTTAGCCCGAGCCAGAATCTGCTCTGTGTGTCAGCTGTAATTCAACTAAATCTGTCTGCTTGAAACTGCTTAAGATCTGTCCTTCAGTAGCTCCACGCAACAGAGATCCTGAGTAACTCACACGTGCTAACCCGTGTTAGAGTTGGAGCTGCCATTTAACTCAAATTGTATTGAAGGAGTCAAAACTTCTTGCACAAAATGGTAGTTTGGTCTCGAGCTGTGATCGTGGCGTCTTAATCTCCAGTGATTTCACATAATCTCTGCAGTCTGTGCTTTCAAGCCTCCAGTGTTGTCTTAAGCAGTTTACTCTGTCTCACGGGCGTTTCCTCTGCTGACCTTGTCCTCTCTAGTTAGCCTTGTGCCCTGCTCGCTGTCCCAAAGCCTCCGAATGCTCTAAGCCAGCTGCCTTGTGCATGGACTGTTGCATGTGAGTAGACGGCCATAGTGGTGAGTCGTGTGACTCCTGCTGGGTGTGGCATGACCCAAGTGCAGCGCAGGCCACCTGCAGGCACCCGCGACAGACCCTGTCGGCGTGCTTTGTGCCAGGAGGGGCAAGCACGGCCTTGAGAGGTATTCGCTGGCCTGGTTCTCGTGCCCTGTGGGGACTGGTCTTCACTGCCCCCTCAGCCGGCCGCGGACAGCTGGGTGGCTCCCATGCCACAGACTAGGGAGGCCCCCGGCGTGGGGTCCTGTGAAGAGTCAGGGGCCGGGTGGACTCCTCTCTGCATGCCACGTTCTGTAGGAGTCCAGGTGACGTTAGCTCAGCGGGCCCGGCAGGGCCTTCTGTTCCCCAAATAACAGTGTTTTTACTTTATAGATTTATTCCAAAGAACACAGCTCTGTCTTCCACAGGTGGCTGTGGGGAGAGCCTCTGTGCTCCTGAGTGGACGGGTCATGTGGGCAGAGACTCCGCGTGCACGTGGCAGGGCTCAGCATTTGAGCCCGTCTCTCCTCTCTCCTCCACCCTCCCTCTCTCCCTCTCCCTCGTTTTTTCTTTTCAAGTTTCATTTGTTTCATTTTTATTTATTTTGCTTGTTAAAGGGAGTGGGCCTAAAAACCACCTTTCCGCTGCTGATAGAAATATGTAGTGCCGAGTGGCTATTGGTGAGGTTTTCCAAAGCGTCCATGTAGTGGCAGCTGTGCACTTTATTTGCAATTGGCTTGAGAACACGTGCACTCCCTTGAGGTCCTTGAGGCAGTGCACATGACACTGATGGGGAGACCTGGCTCAGCGGCGACGTGTGGGGCTTCCCCGCTGCGGGGTAGTGCAGGCTCCGGCCTCTGCTCCCAGGTCGGTATGTGAACTCATGGTCACTGTTCTTAAGTTTCAGACATATTCAAGCTTCTGAGGTTATTGGGTTAATGTTTTTGACTAAAAGCTATGTTTACTAAAGAGCTGGAGTTGTTTTTATCTGAGAAGATAACCGTCAGTGAGTACCTCGCAGCTCATGCCCATCCCACACTCCCCTTCGCGGCAGCTAAGCTCTTGCCACTTGTGTTGCTTTCTTGAAGCCTTATGGTTTCTGGCTCCCTGACTGCCTCCTGAAAGTAACCCGAAAGGCATAACACTGCCGGCCTTGTTTCACTGCTCAGTGCTCACCCATGCGTGCGAATGAGAATCCAATGAAAAACCTCATATTTGATTGGTGATCCCAAAACTGGCAGGTGAAAGCATGTGCTGACGCTACGCACTGATGACTAAAATGGCCTTCGAGCGAGAACTCAGGAAGCACTTCCCGTTTGTTTGGGATATTTTTGTAACACTCTGAAGTATGAAGTTATAGAAAATACTCGACATCACCAAACTCTACCGCTGGTGGCTGCCGTGCACATGGTCACATTGGTGATTCACACGAGCTATGCCGGTGGTGCATTCTGATGCTGTAGTTTATTTCCGTGCCAAACTTTGGTGATGCCCACTCCTGCCTCACAATGCGGCCCTTCCCTTCACCTGGGTGGCAACATCACATCGCTTTTCATGACCCTGCCATCTCATGCTTCCAGCAGCTTTGGCGTTGAGGACTCTCAGGGCAGTGAACCAATGTGCTCTGAAGGGTCCCCCTTCCCCAGCTGGTCTGCGGGAGTCCCGGAGCAGAGCTCGGTTGTCTGCCTGTGCCACGCCTGAGTTTTCTGCGGGGTGTTCTGGAGGGCCTGTGCTGGTCGGTCATGACCTGGGTTCCTGTTTGCACATGCCCTGCCCCGATCCCCCTGCTGCCGTGACAGGAGGTGTGGTCATTGGTTCATTCTCTGTGATGTTCATGCATGACCAGGTGTGAGACACGGTGGACAGATTGGATGCTGTGGTCTCATAGAGCGTTGTCTCCATTCTGACTTTTCAACTGTTCTTGATATTTGCAGTGGACTAAAGAGGATGGACATAGAACCTCCACCTCTGCTGTCCCTAACCTGTTTGTCCCATTGAACACTAACCCAAAAGAGGTCCAGGAGATGAGGAACAAGGTGCGTACCAGTGGTCATCAGCCCTGGGTGGAAACAGTAGCAGGCGGAGGCAGAGTGGGCGGCGGGTGGGCCGGGCTGCAGGGCGCACTTTCCCGGGGCGGCGGGGGGGGGGGGGGGCTTCTGCTGCCACCGCTCTGGTAGCCGAGGCTGTGTCTTTCCTCTGCTTCCGCTGTCGCGCTAACAGGTGCGCGAGCAGCAGATGGATCGGGCTGCTGGTGCTGGAACTGCTTGCTCACAGAGCCGGGCAGAACTGGAAGCTAGAGAGCCTGTTTCCAGCCAGAACAACCTTTGGCCCTCTGCTTGAGCGTTCATTCGCTGAACTGTGGATGTTTGCTGTGTCAGAACATGGGCTCCCCCCATGTTCACAGTGTCACTATATGATGGGCACATGGGGGATAGTCCCCTCAATGAGTACGGTGAGAGATCTGTGCCTACTGCAACCATCTAGAGGTGCAGAAAGTCAGGAATGGCTCATTCCCCCTCTTAGACTCACACATGGTTAAACAGGTGGGACTGGCCCCATCAGACAGCCACTGTGGCCATGCGGGGGCCCTGAGGGGCGGGGCAGAGCAGAAGTGCAGCTTGAGTGGGACTCTGGAGGCCCCCCCCCCCCCGTGCACAGACAGAGGGACTTCAAGTCACAGCCGGGCTTCTCTGTACTGTTGATGTGTGTTTCTCCTTCTTGCATCTTCAGATCCGGGAGCAGAACTTACAGGACATTAAGACGGCTGGCCCCCAGTCCCAGGTTTTGTGTGGTGTAGTGATGGACAGAAGCCTCGTCCAGGTGAGAGCTCAGAATGTCTGACATTACTGGGTGGTGGCTCTAGTGACTGTCCACTCCAGAATTAGTCTTGAGTTGGGAGAGAATGACTCAATGAGGTAAGTGTTCTAGGCAACCCTTTATCTTTGTGAGAAAGCCTTTTGATAAGAAATACCCGGCCACTTTTCCTGAAGTTGTAGATTTAGCACAAGCATGCCTGAGGGCCGCGTCCCTCCCCCACCCCCGCCACCGCCCCGGCCCTGCTCTACGTGATGCATGCCCTGGTGATGGTGGCACACATGCCGCCTGCTTGGGGACCGGGGTGCGCCCTAGTTTAGCGGTTTACTGTGGAAAATGCTAGAAGAGGGTGGGTTTAATGGACTTTGTGTTTCCGTGTGTATTGCTGTCTGCAATAAAGTGCCGCTTGGGGTAAAGTGCTCATAGAGGGCACCTGTAAATGTGGTCTCCGCATTTACACGCCGTTCTAGAGAAGGGCTGTACTTTGTGGCACGTGGAAGATAATTGTGTAAGTAGTTATCTCTGAAAATGAAGTTGCCACCTAATGCTTTACACATGATGGCAGGGTAGGTGACCGTTTTCCCATTTGGGCCAGCTGTGGCCCTGCTTGTGTGGTCTGTGCTCGCACATGGCCGCTCCATCACCACTGCTGTCGCCGGCTGTCTCTGCTGCATGCCCTTGGCTGGCTCCATCCTGTGCTCTCCGTTGATGTTTCAAAGCTGGGCCTGGTGGGCTCTCATGACTCAGTTTACTGTTGCAGGACGCACCCCTCTCTGACTGTACGGAAACAATCGAAGGGCTCGAGCTTACAGAGCAGACCTTTAGTCCTGCTAGATCTCTCTCTTTTAGAAAGGTACTCACCGCCCTGTCCTCACCTCCCCGTCAGCACGCGCGCCTCTTCCCCTGCCCCACTCCTCACTGTCTGCTCGCGCTCGGCGCCATCTCACCTACTGAAGTAGCTTTGACTCTGTCTCGGAATTATCCACGGGCTTGTGCAGAGCTTCTGCTCTGCCTCTTCTTCCATGGACATGTTTGGTCTGAGGCTGCTTCACAACTGTTGTTCTTCCATAAGGCTGTGGAGAGCGGGCCCATCGTAAGGATGTGGTGCGTTTCCCAAGTTCTGCACGTGACTTTGGTTTAGTGCATGCTTTTGGTTTTTAGTTTGCCTTTTTATAAGAGGCCGATTGCAAGAGGCTTAGCGTGGGTAGACCGTGGGCAGTGGCGGCTCTCCTGTGTACCTTCTACCTTTGCTTATTCAGCACGTGCTGTGAACATGGCAACTGGAGGTTGTATGATTGAAAGACATTTCAGAGGACGGGGACATTGGTCAGACAGTTTTTATTGTGGATGAAATTGATTTTGTTTTTCCCTTAAAAAAATCCTGGATAATTTTAAAAAAGTGTTTCATGGGGAAGAAGGCGTGGACATTTGAAGCCCAGAGTTGTCTTCCATGTACGTGTCTGACAGGGTGGAAGGAGACCTTCCATGAGCATTCAGGCTGCACTACTTGGGCTGGGGTGGACTGCGGCTGCCTGTACATTTCAAGTCATAGTCACGTTCACCCTGCATTCAAAGGACATTTGGGGGTGTGTCTCTTTCAACTCATACACCTCCATTGAGATGCAACTATCACATTGGTGATGTTCCAGTTGCCAGGAAGAAGCAGATCTTACCAAAGGCTATATGTCCCTGTGTGGAATCCCCACCAATAACACTATTTTGCGTACCTACGTGTTCATTCCATGTGTACCGTTTCTTACCGTTTAGAATGTACTCCCAGCTGCCATTCTTGGAGGAACTCCTCAGAGCAAAGGAGAAAGACGTACTTGTTTTGCATCTCAGTACTTTGGGCTCGAAGCTTTTATGATCTTGTGAGTTCCTCATTTTTTTTCTCAGATGTGTGAAGGTGTGCTGAGTCCACGAGCCCCAGGGATTCCTATGCGGAGTCCACCCGTGGCTGCCACCCTGTGGCCCCACGGGCAGAGCTGGTTGGAACAGTCCTTGCTTGCATCGCACGTAGCGGTCTCTGCCGGCACACTGCCAAGGCTCGCTGGAAGGCAGGCGGTACTGAGATGCGGCTCTTGGGCCAGTTCCTCGGCCCCTGTTCTGGATTTGCCCCAGCAGTGTCAGACATGGGTGTGTGCCCCGTCTCCTCTGTTTCATGAAGCATAGATGGGGATACCTCCGGGCCAGGAGGTCAGAGTCGGTGGGAACGGAGTTCCCAGCGGTCCTGGTGTCCTCTCCACCGTCTGAGCACCGCGCTGCGTGAGCCGTGCGCTGGCTGGAGTTAGCCCAGGAGAGTGTGCCCAGCCCGGCTGAGATGCTGGTGTCCCCACACCGGGATCCTTGATTCAGCTTGCGTTTTCTCCATCACCCTCCTGCTGCTCACACTTGCCCCTTGGTCTTTTCCCCACTGACTAAGCATATTTCATTTCTTTGTTGAGAATATGATTCCACCAATGCCCTTGACCGAAGTTGTGCCCACGGCCTTTGTGTGGGGCTCAAAATGCAGACTGAATTGCTCCTTCTGCAAGATGGGTGCTGCTTGCTGGCAACCTGAGTTTCTCTTCGAACCAGTGAAAAGGATTTTGTTAAATATCCTAAAAATGTCTTTTTTCCGGTGAGGTGGGTGTGTAGTCACTTGTTTTTCATTTGAGAATCTGAGGAATGTGTGTTTGGGACTTAGGAAGGTTGGAGCTTTTGGGAAGGGTTTTCCTTTGCTTCTGTCTCTCCCTTCCTGGTGATGGTCGTTCACTCAGAGCATGTTGTCTTCTGACAGAACAAGGAGCCATGAACTCTCAGCCACACCCCATACTCTGGTTCCAAAAGGAATCCTGAGCACAGCCGAAGGCTCTCTTGGCTCCAGTGCTGTGCCTGTGAGCTGTAGCCTGGGGCTTTCTGGCACCTTCTGGACTTCATTACTGGTGAATGGAGCTGTTAGAGGTTAGGGTGGACAAGTTTATGCTGAAGGCTACCCATCAGGGCCAAGAGCTGTTGCTGGGTCTGGTACCTTGAGCCCCTGTTCTTTGTGTATCTCTGTGTTATCTCTGTGTGTGTGGGCTGTGGCCCTCCCACATTTTGTGCTGCGTGGTAGAACACGAGGGGCCTGGGCCCACTTCACAGACTTACATGATGCATTTGGTGTTGAGCACTCAGAAGTGTGTGGCCCGGCACTAAGAACGTGAATTCAAACCTGAGTGGGTTTTATGGATGAAAGCCTGATGCTCGGAGAGATAGGGTCGCTAGCTGTGTTCGTGTTGCTCGCCAGCTGCCTCAGCCAGGTGCAGAAGCAGTGCCTGGGCATCTGGTCTGCTGGTAGCCCCTGTTTTGTGGCTGGAAGTGAGGGGCACTGCATGAGCCTCCCCGCGGCCTGCTGGTGAGAGCAGCCACGTCACACCCTACTTTCTGAGTCCAGGCTGCTGCATGGGGGACCTGTTTCCCTCTGCATCCTAAGCCTTGCTCTGTTTTCTTCCCGCAGATAACAGGCTCCCTCTGTCCCCCAGTCTCTTCAGAGTCTGGGTCTTGTCAGCTGTCGGTTGCTGGCTGAGGAATTTGGAGGAGGGAGGCCTGGCTGGCAGAGGTGGGAACCAACCATGCTGTGCCTCGAGGGTCAGGGCTCTCAGGGCAGGCATGGCCTCCTGGTGCATGGATGTCTCTGTGGCAGGTGGATCTTGATATTTTATTCATCCCTTGATTTGAACTTTTGATTGAAGTGAATTGAAACGTTTCTGTCAAACCTCATGTCACCTCCTCATTTTTTTGACCATGATGGCAGGGCATAAATGCAGGGCATACGTTGCCATAGATTTAGGGAACCACGCAGTCAGGCCTTGGCTGTTGTCAGCCCTGCAGGCCCGTCTCAAGGAAACAGACCCGGGGCCTGTGCGCAGGAACAGGCATCCAGGAGTGGTGAGCAGCAGGCAGGGGTTCATTCCTCTGTCCTGGGGAGATAGGGCTGCTTCTGAGTGAACGGGCACTTGAACTTGGGTCAGCGTTGGTCAGAAAGGGGACTCCCTTTGACCATCGAGGTCAGCTTGAATCTGGAGGCTCTCTGAGCAAATGTGGCCAATTCCAGCAGGTCCGTTGCTTCTCTTCCCCGGCCCTGCGTCCCTGATCGGTCATGGAGTCCTCTGGACTCTCTCTACCCAGCTCGGTGGACAGCAGCCCCTCAGCCCAGGTCCCCCAGCCTTGGCCAGGGCAGAAGGTGGCCAGGTGAGCTGCTTTTCCCCAGCACTCAGTCTGGCCCTGTCTCTCACACACATTGCTCGGGCACGGTCTCTCACTGGTGTTGTGTCTTACTGAGGAGAGTATGGACAAACCAGGGCTAACATCAGAATTTTGGATTCCGCTATCATGGGTTGTTTTTGGAAGCTTCTCTTAAGTAATGGGCATGTGAGTGTGTTCTGGTTAACTTTCTCAGAACATGAACCCAGGCCATTCGGGGGCCAGCCAAGCTGGGCTGTGGGCACAGAGCTCTGCTGGGACAGGTGAGTGGAGGCTGAGGCTGGACATCATTTCACACGCCCCAGAGATGCCTCCCCCCGCCGGCTCCCTCCCTCCAGGCCTGCCTTCCCACCCCAGGGATGCCCAGCATGGGGCTGCCCCCTTTGCAAACTGGGGGCTGACTGCTAGCCACCTCTGCTCTGCTTGCTTGCTTTTTCTCTTTCTTTCCTACACATTCTTGCTTTTCCAAATTCCTCAAATACTGGTATTTTGGGACTTCTTAAAAAATTTCTCGGTGTTTGGGCATAGGTTCCAGGAGCTAGTTATAAATGAAACACATGCTTAAAAGAACAGAATTTAGTCTGTGAACCTAGAAAGGAAGCCAGTATCCGAGCATACCTTCCCTGCCTTGGAATCCTGGGGGTTTCCTGATGTCAGGAGGGCAGTCGATGTAAAGAGTCGGCTCTTCATCCCTGCCAGGAAGGAGACAACATTCTCCCCCAGGTGCTCTGTGCTCTCCGTTGCACCTGAAACCTGGACTCTCCGAGGATGTTTCCCTCCTGTTACTTTTGTTTTGTAGCTGTACCTTCAAAATTGTGTTTCTCTGTCTCTGACTGCTGGAGGCTGCAGCTCGGCCTCAGCCTCAGCCTCAGGGCCCAGGGTGAGGCCCAGGCCAAGTCTCAGGGTTGTTTGTGTGCCCTAGGAAATCCACCCACCCCGCCCTGCCTGCAGCCTTGCCCCAAAGGGGGAGTCCCTGAGGGGAAGGACTCCTGCAGACTGGGCCTCTTTGTCTGCAGGGGGAGCTGGTGACAGCCTCCAAGGCCATCATTGAGAAAGAGTACCAGCCCCATGTCATTGTGAGCACCACGGGTCCCAACCCCTTCAACACGCTTACCGACAGAGAGCTGGAGGAGTACCGCCGGGAGGTGGAGCGGAAGCAGAAGGGCCCTGAAGGTGAGTGTGCACGGGTCCTGGACACGCTGGTCCGCACCGTGTGCGTGGTGCCTAAAGAGAGAAAGTGCTCTGCGAGCTCCTTTATGCCCAGGCATTGACGGGGGGATGATGAGGACCGTTGCTTGCATGGAAGATCAGCCTTGTGTTTGGGGTTAAGACCAGAATGTTATTCCTTATACATTACCTAGTTTTGGGGGATTAGAAGGGGAAACGCACTTGGGAACGGTCTGCTTAGGAGGGAGATGCAGCCCGGCTCTGTGGGAGACTGTGTCCAAGAGCCAGGCTGCTGTCTTTCTGCACAAATCCAGAGGGTCTCCCTGGGCATGGTGTGGTCGAAGGCCCATGTGCTAGCATGTTGACATGCTTCTCTCGCCTCTGCCGTGAAGGCTCCCTTTCCCTGAGCAGCCTTGGTTGGTTACCAGGAATGCCCTGGGCACAGACACCCCCATCCAGGAGGCTCATGTTGCGTCCTCAGGGCCGTAAGTTCCAACCCTGGTCTTTGTACTAAAGCCTCCTGAGCAGGGACCACACGTCTTTCCCAGCTTGTCCCTAGGAATCAGCCTGTGGGATAGAAGTCCCATGGTGTTTGTGGCCCTGGGTCCACGGGGGATAGTCCAGGGAATTATGTATCACTCCTCAGATAACCTCTGATTTGCTCCAATTTAGGTTTTTTTGGTCTTGTAGACCAACTACCATATTATATAGATGCTGTTGGAGTTGGGTTGCACACGGAAGGGTTGCTGAGGGGTTTTTAGTGTGTTGCAGCATCACTGCTGTCACGCTGTAGTCGCTGTGTGCTGGGGTTCACTGCTGTCACGCTGTAGTCGCTGTGTGCTGGGGTTAAGACTTCGTGTGCATCGAAGCGGAGTGAGCCCAGGCTGCCCCTGGCGCCAAGCTCTGCTTCTGATAGTCATGCTTGGACAGTGCACGCAGCCCCATTGCGAGCTTTGTCCACACTGCCGCCATCGGCCCTGCCCTGGGGTGGCGTGCGGGCCCGAGCTCCTGGTCCTGTGGTCGAACCCTATTCCAGAGTGCACATGTGTGTCTGCCCTTTGGGCTCTTCCGATGTTTGGGAGGTCTGGGTTACAGGAAAATGTTGTTTGAGTGAAGCCACAAGACACACGGGTTTCCTTGCACGTGAGGCTCCGTGAGGGGTGTTTTAGCCGTTGAGCGAATGGGGTGTCTGTGGCCATGCTCTGTGACCACTGAGCTGTCTGCCATGGTCACAGCACTGACCTGGGGGACACTGCCAGGAGACCCCTGCCCAGTGCTGGCCCTCGGCCCGGGGGGTGCCACACAGCAGCACTTCCCACAGGAGGAAGGAAGCAAGCCTTGGGGCTTGGGCACCTTTCCTGGTTGAGGGAGCTCCTGGGAGATGGAAAGACCTTTGTTCACAGGCATGTGGCTTCAGGAAAGTAGGTTGGCATCTCTAGAGATCAGAGGCCCTGCGGATGATAGCCGCTTGTTCAAAATATGAGACTTAGTGATGTCAAGCTGTTAATATAAAAAATTCAAATGAGAGAAAGAGATTTAAGGAATTAGGATAATATCGGTATGTATTTTTCCCTAAATGAGAAGTAGACTCGGATTTTTCTGGATCCTGGATCCTTGTACCTACAGTTTTCCCTCTGGTCCTCTTCAGCATATTTTACTTCAGAAAGTTAAAGTATAATTGCCAGGTTTAAATTATTGGTAGAAAATGCTCTGGATAAAAAAAATGAAAACCAATGCAGTGCTCATGTGACATCCATTGGGGTGGCGGGTAGGGTGAGGGTGCCTGGGGCCCCGGGCTCCTGGCTCAGCCATGGGGAGAGGCTCCTCAGTGGAGCACAGGTGCAGACACACCGGGGGTCACCAGTCACCATGTGTCACAATGTCAGCTCTGGCAGATTCTCTCTGGAATAAGTGGAAATCTATTTTTTAATCCGGAGTTGGTTGAATCTTTGAGATTCAGATTCACACCCCAGTCACAATGAGTCTTCTTTGTCCCCTAGGAGAGATGAAGACAGTGTGGCCGTGAGCCCTCCTAGTCTTTTGGATGCCCCCGAGAATGAGAATATTCCGCCTCGAGGCAGCTGGATGGACAGGGCAGGAGGGCCTGGCTGCCTTTGAGGAGGGTAAAGGCCCATGATGTCTGACGTTCTTTACTGTGTGCTTCTCACTTTCTGTCCGTCTGCAGAGAATCTAGACGAGGCCAGAGAACAGAAAGAAAAGAGTCCTCCAGAAGCCCCTGCTGCCCCCCACACCCCCCCCAGCACCCCCGTCAAGCTTGAGGAAGGTGAGCTCTGGAGTGGATGTGAGCGTGTGGCTGCCCGGCCGTGGGAGGGTGCGTGGCCTCCTGTGATCCGGCGTCTGCCATGAGAGGCCGATTTCGTGTCCTGTCCAGTGAGGGAGAGTGCCCGGGTGTCAGTAGTTGAACGGACAGTGGTGAAGAAGCAAGTGTTTGCGTGGAAACCAGCACGACACATGGTTCTGAACTGGGCCCCGTCTTCCTTGCTTCTCCTGGTTTGGCTCTGTCCTGGGTCCCTCGAGGCAGCAGATTTGGTAGTGAGACATCAGGACAAGGTGGGAAGCTAGACTTGGGGGATCGGATCCCATCTTCGTTTATGATGTCCATTTTGCCCACTGCTTACGCATTTCTCAAGCCGTACTGTGTCCAGATCACTCCTCTGGAAATGTCTTCCATTGTGTCTGGGCTGCAGGACCGCGTGTGACCTGCCGTAGTAATCAGTCCGTGCAGCGTGCTGGCCTCCACTGGCCTCTCAGACCACCCACTGTGTGTCTGTGGTGTGTGGCCTGTGTGTCTGTCCCTCGGTCTTCCGTGTTGTGCTTCCCGTGCCTGTGGGGAGCGTGTGGCTCGCCTTCCTCCCCACTGTTTGTCCACAAGAATGGCTTAGCCGTTCTCCTCCTGTAACCCAGTGGCTGTGACTGAATGCCTAGATTCTCTCCCTGTGCTTTTCTCTTCTGCGGCTGCGTTACAAGCAGGAGGCGGATGTGCTAAAGAATACCTCTTACCGTAGTAAGTACCGCCCGCGTCCGGCCTGCTGCTCAGCCCGCGCTCCCTGTGCTTTGCCTCACTCTCCTGCTGCTTTGTTGCTTAGTGAGTTCTGTTTTCTGTTTATTCAAAGTAAAAACAGAGCCCCTCCCCCTTAGTACCCAGTTCCCCCTCCCAGGCAGTGGCATCTTGGCAGAGGCTCGGTTGCTGGAGAGCTGGGTGGTGGCAGCCTGTCCCGGGGGCTCCTGGGGACCGAGGCAGTGCCACTCCAGACCTGTGACCTCAGGAGTTCCAGGGCGGTCACGTGGCCCTGCCGAGCCTGTGCTTGCCCGGTGGGATTAGACACACACGCAGACTAGGTTCAGGCAGGTGGGTGTGCCTCGTGCTGCATGGGGGTCGCTTTTATTGGGATCTGGGCTTAAGCCAAGAGCTTAAGCATAATTGGGGGGTGGGGCAGGAGAGCTCTGTCTGATGCTCTATTTTTCATGTGGCATTTGGTCACATGGTCAAGTTCCCCGAGGCACCCACAGGCCACCTCTGCATGCCAACTTCCTCCTGTCCCCCTAAGTAAGGACATTGAACTGTCCCGGGACAGCAGGTGGCTCAGGGGAAGGCTGGGGTGGCCCCAGCCTCCCAGAGCCAGAGCGCTAAAGCGTTTGTGGGCCAGAGCCTCCTGCAGCCGCTTCTCACCCTGCTCAGCGCCGGCTGGGTCCCCCTGGCCCGGCCTGCGGCTTGGTGTCTCCATACTAAGTTTAGTTTTGCCTTAGCAGCCCATCGCTTATAACTCTGTAGGATGTTATAAAAATCTACAAAACTGGTTTCCCCCCTGGTCAGAGTCTCTGTAGAGATCTGGTGATGGGAACTTTCCCGGACACCCGCCCTCAGCCCGTGACTTCACTGCGAGTTACCTTTTGCCCTTTCATGTTCCCTTGTACCCCGAGTTCCTGTGTTTGAATGCTGAAGCTGGCCTGGTTTTTGTCCCTGTGCCTCACCTTACAGTTCCCCTCTGTTCTTTCATTCTCCAGCCTCCAGTGGCTTTATTTTGTTTGATGTTGACACAGTGCACATGGGGTCTGGGAGTTAACCATGGTTAACCATGGAGTTTTCCATAGTTTTCTTCTTGGGGGAGACCAGGTTTGTGGACCCAAATTTAGGCCTAATTTCAGGACTACTAATACATGCCCTTAGGGTTCTAGAACAGACTCCTGTCCAAGTGTTAAACACAGAACAACATCCTAGTGCAGTGCTGCCGGCTTGTCCAGCTCTCTGACAGGGGCCTGAGGTCCCAGGACCATGTCTGAATGCCTCGGTCTGTCCACACACCGTCCACGAGGAGGAGCTGAGAACGCGCCCCCACCCCTTCCCACTAAGGTTACGTCTCCGTTTTGTACTGTGAGCCTTGAAGTAGAGTAGACCTGATTTAGGGTTTCTTGTTGTCATGTCAGTAAAAGCCCCTAGAGCCCAGCCCCGCGGCCATCTTGGTGCAGGGCACTGCCTCTCTTGGGGTGCCCCACCCAGGTCCCACAGCTGCCCTTCAGCCCTGTCTCTCGCCCCCGCCTGCCAGACCTGCTGCAGGAGCCCACCTCTGGAGAGGACAGCGAAGCTGCCACCTTTAAGCCGACTCTCCCCGACCTGTCCCCTGATGAGCCTTCAGAAGCGCTCGGCTTCCCCACATTGGAGGAGGAGGAGGAGGAGGAGGAGGGGCTCTGTGAAGCCCATGAGCCTCCCAGCCCCACCAGGTCCCCTGTGGCGGCCAGCCCTGAGCCATTCTCCGCCCAGGCGGCAGAAGAAGCCACCTCCCCAGCTGCCGAGGAGGCGGCTGCCGTGGACCCTGGCAGCGACGGGTCTCCTGGCAAGTCCCCTTCCAAGAAGAAGAAGAAATTCCGCACCCCCTCCTTTCTGAAGAAGAGCAAGAAGAGGAGTGACTCCTGAAGGCCCGTCCCGCACACACTAATGCCACCAGACTGCCCCCATCGTGTCCTGTCTTGTGTCATGGAATGCAAAAAGCCCATCCCTCCACATAGCTAGAGCTCTCCTCACAGTGTGACCGAATCCCCACGTAGACCGGTGCTAACCTCGTGTGCGCATATAGCGGGCCTTCGCCTGGGGGTGGGGGTGGGGAGCCATGTCTCTGCGGCCCCTCAACTTCTGTCCGCCCTGCCTGGGCCAGCACCCCACTTCGTGCACTCCCCCGGGCCTGGACGTCCTGGTTCTGGCTGGACAGCTGGAGGCCCTGGTGGCTCTGGCCTTCCCTCCCTCTCCTTCTGTGGTGCAGTTCCCATGCTGTGTCTCTCCTAGGCTTCCCTTCACTCCCACGTCTCAGGTGACTGGGTCAGACTTGGAGCTTCGTGCTGGTGTTTCTTGCTCCATGGGTCGTAGCTACAGAGCTTCAGCCCTGTAAAAGCACTCCTGAGTCCACTAGTGGCTCCAGGCATCCTGGAGGCCTTTGATTCTGGGACCCTGCAACAAAGGGGCCTGCGTACACCCCATGCGCCCTGTGCATGTCTGATGGCCCTGAGGCCAGAAATGGGGTTCAGTGGCCTCCACTTTACTTTCTTACTGGGGTCTCCAGATTCCTGTCCTAGAGAGGAGACATGAAGAGTGAGAAGAGTCCTTTCTGGAATTTTCTTTCATCAGGTTTGCAATTCAGCCTGCATTTTTGACCATGAACATGAAGGGGCCGCTCTTGGCTGTTTCCCCCTTGGTCCTGCTGCGGAGTGCTGTAAAGCGCTGCTCACTTCCTGCACGGGAGATTCGGGAACCGGGAAGGGAATGCCTCTTAATTTAACCCAGTCTGAAGGATTCCCTGGTTTTGGTAAAAGGTCGCTTAAGGTAGAAGGGGATTCAGTGGTCCTTCCCCACCTTCTCACAGTAGTCATTTGTGGAGCCGGGCCTGCCTCTCCTCATGGGACATCATAAATTTTCACTGAGATTCCTGAAAAATCTTGTGCAGCTGCTCAGCAGACACTAGTGGGGGCTCATTCTGGGGGCTCCCTGGCGTAGGCCTGGCTAGGTGCCGGCTCATCACCTCCCTAGAAGTGGGCTGGGGTCTCCCTCTCCTGACCCCAAGCAGGACCTGAGGCTGGCTGCATGGCGCCACCCGCTGCTTCGAGCTTTCCGGAGACTTGCTTTCTCTGGGGTATGGTTTTGTTGCCTTGGTGGTGTCCAGGTTCCCCACCCTCACCTTGTCCCTCAGTTAACCATGGACTCTGGCCCTTCTTTTGTCCCACATATGTAATGACTTCCATTTTACTTTTGTAGTTTATTTTAACTCTTTGTATCACATGAAGTTTAGTCGTGTATATGGACACAGGCTTGGGAGGATGGGTCCTGCGTCCTTCAGTGTAACATGTTTTACTCACAAATAAAACTCTTTAAGCAGTTTCCTTGTCTAAACTCGGGAAGCAATTTTGCATTTAATTGCTTTCCTTTGCTCCTTTAAGATAGGACTTGTCTCGAGTCCCAAAAAGAGAACCTTAAGTATTTTGCTTTGTTTTTCAATATTTATTCAAGAGAGTGTGGGTGCGTGAGGAAGAGGGGCAGAGGGAGAGAATCTCCAGCAGACCCCTCCAATCCCCGCCCCGTGCCCGAGCACAGAGCCCCACAAAAGGGGCAGATCCCATGACCGTGAGATCATGACCTGAGCTAAAATCAAGCGACAGAGCCCCCCAGCTCCCCCCACCCAACTGTTTAATTCTTGATCACTGTTGCTTTGCACTGGGGAGGATCCTGCAGCCACAGGCCAGGGCAGGACATGTGATGGGGAGAGCCCGGCACAGGGGTCCCCGCCTCCCTGCTTCTGCCAGGGTTCAGGGTGCATCCCAATATCGCCCAGCGTGTGCTGAGCCCAGGCTTGGAGGGCCCTGTGTTCCACGTTCTGTCCTCAGCCTCGTGCAGAATGGGAGCTGACTTGGGAAGAGCCTGGGACACTTCTCCATGGAGCTCTAAGAGCCTTCAGTTTAAGTTGCTGCTTCTGGTGCCTGGGGCTCTTGGGGGTGGGGCTGGTGAGGCACTGCAGCTATTGGAGAGAGGCAGTGGATCTGAAACAGCTGCTTTATTTTGACATTCAGAGGCCTGGCTGACACTGTGCTGGCTGAAAGAGAGGCCAAGAGAAAGCCTGGAAGGTTTTGGAGTCATGCTCCCAGCGGGACAGGCAGGGCCAGCAACACCTAGGGAGGAGCCAGGAGGGTGTCGGGCCCTCTGGGGCTGCAGGCCCTGGGCTGTCCTGGGTTGGGCCCAGGGAGAGGGAGGTCCCTGGCCCAGGCCTCCCCCTGCCCCAGTGCAGGGCGGGGCTGGCTCAGCTACTCGGCCTTGAGAGCGTGGGCTGGAGACCTCAGATTCCACAGGAGCAGGAAGGGGAGCAGGAAGAGGCCGGAACACACGGTGAAGCAGACCTGGGCCCCTGCCAGCCAGTACGCTGTGGAGAGACAGCCTGAGTGGGAACGCGGGCCCACCCTGGCCCTGCCGCCCCTTGGCCCCAGGATGGCAGCAGTGCGGCCCTGGCCCTGAGTGCTTACCTGAGGCAGCCACCATAGGTCCCACTGCCCTGGCCAGGGCGCCCAGGCTCCTTAGGGTACCCATGATTGTGCCTTTCTGCCCGGGTGAGCCTGCGGGGGAGACAGGAAGGAGGCCATCAGGTGCCCGTAGGCCTCCTCCCAGCTGGGGATCTCTGGCGACAGAAGGGCTTCTCACCATAGTTGGCAACCACAGAGGACAGGCAGGGCACCACGACCGCGGCAGCTGGTGGGAGACACCAGGAAGGTTGAGGTCAGCCCACAGGAGACACCAGAGAGGCTGTGACCCAGGAGCCCCGGCCCGGGGAAGGCCCACTTACCGAAGGAGTACAGCAGCAGCCCCAAGCCCAGCACAGGCAGCGTGAGCCCCCAGCCGATGAGGAGGAAGGCCGGCACGAGCAGCAAGATGGCCTGGCAGTGGGCACAGTGATCAGGACCCACCCCTGCTGTTTCCAGCAGGGCTCAGGCCACAGCAGTGCTCCCCACCCCAGCCTTCCCGGGGAGCCCCGTACCCGCTTCACAGCTGCAATCTCCCCACCAGGGCTGATCCTCCGTGCGTAGGCACCCTGCACGGCGGCCATGGTGAGGCCGATGAAGAAAAACATCTTTCCCTGCTGCAGGCTGGGGGCAGGGGAACAGTGAGCACCCAGGCCCTGCAGCTGGCTGAGCGCCCCTACTTCGCTGGCTAAGCCAGGGAGCCGGGGTGACAACTGGTTCAACACGGTCCTCAGGGCCAGGGTGGGAGCAGCCCTGCAGCTGGGGCGTCAGGCCGGGGAGATGGCAGGATGCTCCCAAGCCAGGTCCATCGGGGACCTAGCACCCCTACCTGCTGAACTGGAAGCGCTGGTGGGCAAGGAAGCTGAGCGTGTACTCCAGGCCCGAGAACAGGAAGAGGTAGAGGAAGTACACCAGGCCCAGGCGGCGGAGGCTCTTAAGTCCTGGCAAGCAGTGGGGAGCGGCTGACGAAAGCTGGGGGCAGGTCTGGGCTGATAGAGGAAGGGACCTGTCCCACCCTCACTCAGGACAGGGGCGGGGGGTGGGGGTAGGTGGGTGGCTCCTTACTGTCTCCAGCTGGTGGGTCCTGGCCTTGGGCCATGGCTGAGAAACGGAGCAGGGCCAGGGGGCTGAGCAGATCTGCAGCAGCTCGGAACCCAGGGGTGATGGAGGGTGCCTGGGGTGGGGGCAGGACTGGAGGGGCCTGCCAGGCGGCTGGGGAGGGGCAGGACCTGAATCTGCCCTGGCCTCCAGTCCCTCTGACGGGCCTTAGGGGCAGGGGCACCAGGAGAAGACAGCCCAGCCTCCCCTGGCCTCCCCACACACCCACAAACTGAGCCCCTAGCCCCGGGACCTCTAAGTAGTCTTTCTGGGTCCGCCCTTACCCGCTTCTCTGGGGGCAGGGTCTCTGGCAGAAAACAGAAAATGAACAGCACGTTGGAGGCAGCGAAGAGCAGGGCCAGCCAGGGTACAGTCTCCGTGGGCAGGGAGGCACCCAGCATGGGGCCCAGGGTGAAGCCCAGCGAGAAGGCCACCCCGATGACTGCCTGAGGAGAAGGCCGCCTGAGCCAGGCACGAAGACCCCAGGAATCCCCAGCCGCTCATCCCCTGTCACCTGCACGCACCATGCCTCGGCTGCGGGCGGAAGGTGAGCCCAGGTCAGCTATGATGGCCGTGGAGAGGCTGACGTTCCCCTTGCTGATGCCCCCAATCACCCTGGAGGCCAGGAAGGCCGCAAAACTCCTCGAGGCAGCCCACACTGCATATGACGTGGCCAGACCTACCTGCCTCAGGATGGAGCCCACAGGGCGGGTATGGTCACCTGAGGCCACCAGGGACCCAGAGTTGGGCCGACAAACCCAGGTCACATCCTTGGGGCCCTGCCCCATTCCAGAGCATCCAGGGGCCACCTGTGTTCCCAAGGTCCCCCATAGGTGGCAGGAGCAGCTCTGGGAAAGCCTGGCTGGGCCACGGGACCGCCACTCCCTCAAGCACCACATTCAGGGGGCAGTGAGGGGTCAACCCCCTTTCTCCCCAGAGGGCTGCCTGGCAGGTGAGAAGAAGCCGCACATTTCAACGCCTCGGGCACCCCCGTACCAGGGACAGCAGCATCACCAGGCGCCTCCCCAGACAGTCCGAGATCGCCCCCGTGAGTGGAGCCAAGAGGAACTGCAGGAAGGAAAAGACTGAGCCAATGAGACCTGGAAGAGACAGAGGTTTTGTTCCCGGAGGGTCTGGTCCTGCGGTGTGAGCCCTGCACTCCCACACCCTGGGCTTCCAGCTGAGGTGCCCTGACCACCCGTGGACATTGCGCTTGGATACTGGCGGCCAGTGCCCATAAGCAGGAAGGTGGGGACAAGGGCTGGGATGGACTGGAGGCTGGGCAGAGACACACATCCGGAGAGAGTTGCAGGGGCCCCAGCGCGGAGCTGGTGAGCCTACCTCCGAAGAGGACGCTGTTGTACCGCTTCTCTGCCGGCATCCTGATCGCAGCGGCAAACCAGTCCACTCCCCGCTGCCACGAGCCATAGAGGGGGTCCTGGAGGACACGGGATTGTGACGAGGGTGCGAGGCGCGGGCAGCTGTGGTGGGGGGAGTCGGGGCGCCTCTAGACACGGACGAGGGGCAGTCTTACGTGGGCGCGGCTGTGGCTCTCCAGCAGCCCTGGCAGCAGGGGCAGCAACAGAGTGAAGGCCAGAAGGTCCAGCAGGAGGCCGAGGAACACCACAGTGATCACGCGCTTCTCCTGCGCCGTCTGCGGGCGGATGGGTGGGCGCGGGGTGCAGCTCCCTCCGGCTCCCCAGCCCATGATCCCGCCTGGCTGAGAGGGTGGCAGGTCTGCATGCGCCCGCCTCTGGGTACCCCAGCCCTACACGGGGGTAGACTGAGTCCCCCAGCTCCTGCCAGGCGCGCCACCAAGCACCCTAAAGAGAGCCTGCCCGCCCCGCTCACGGGCGCCCTCCCCTGATCCCAGGAGGCGGGAAACTCAGGGTGCGGAGTTGCGCAGAGAAACCGCAGCCACGGATGCCAACCGTCGCCAGGG